TTTGTGCAATGTAGCAGAGAGCATTGTCCTGTAGAAAAATGTCACTTCCATCATAAAAGATTGTTGCTATGAAGTGGTGTGCCTGGTCTTCAACAATGTTGAGGAAGGTGGTAAATGGTAATGTACTTTTCACATAACAGCACCTAGTGCACTTCTCTAGGATAGTAATACACACACACACTCAGCTATCCACCTTATTCAGGAGAAGGTGACTCAATAGACCAAAGAAACCTTCTTATTCTAGTGATACAAGGTTCAATACTGACACCAATGTACACATTGAAGATGTTTTTGGCAATGGACATTGGTTAGCATGGATACTTGGAACAACCTACAACTACTCAGATCCATACACAACAAGGATTGATGTACTGTGTGTTGTAACATATTCCTTCTTTCACCTTCATTACATCTATCTGTACCATTAGCACAATAGCCCTTATCTGTTGGAACATACTTGGCAAGAAAATGTCTGTCTATGTCTCACAAAAAGAAGTTTCACAATGCTTTGCTAATAACCACAACTGAACATGAGAATTGCATTTGGATTCATTAAAATTTTTAAACATTATAAACTTTGTTTGGAAATAGATTTAGAAGCTATCATCTTTCATAAGAAAAAGTGATACATAACAGTATTTAACTAGCTACTGACCAAGTTTATTAAATAAAGTTATAATAAACATTCCCTGTAAGAATTCTATAATCAGTTTTCATATTAACATTGAACATTTGAAAAAGAAATTAACAGACCTAGATACTTTCTGCTTATTGATATTGTTGAGATGATTCTTGTAATCTTTAATTAGATTGGATTTTTCAAAGAAAATCTGTCTGTGACGGTTTTAAAGAAATTTTTTCTGTGACTTATCAAAGAACATTTATGACCATTTAGTCATCAATCTTTACAAGATATGCATTTAGTGAGAAATTTAGAAGAAAAAGCCTGTCAAAAATTAACTTTATTGTGCAAAATTATTGCATACTACTCAATACTCGATATAAGTTAAATGTTTTCTTTCAATCTATTGTCTAATTGTCAAACATCAATCTTTTTATAATACTTTATACACTTATTTTTTTTTTGTTGTCTTCATGATAGGATTTTATGAGCAACAAATAATTACTTACAAGCCTTACACTGCAATAAAAAAAATGATAACACAAAACTTATGAAAATCTATAAAAACAAACAATGCTTTCCAGTAGAAATCATTTTTCAATTATTAAATTCAAAGATTGCTTTCCACAAATAAAAAATATTGTTTTTCTTTACTAAGTTTTCAAACTTGTTACATTCAGTGTTGTCTACTACATAAAAAGTTATCAATGAAAAGGACCATTTCTTTTTCATGTTCGTTTTATTAGGAGAGAGTGGCGGAAGCTTGGATTCTAAGAGGAAGCAGGGGGAACAACATTACAAGAATGCATGTTGCATATTTGCTCAGCATCCCACTGCATGTGATCTTAGTCTGTCACTAACCTGGGTGTGGGCGGCATATTGGCACTTCAAAATTCTTGCAGCCCTCTATTGAATTCGCACCATTTTGGATTTATATCCAGAACCCAGATAAAGGCAAACCATCACTGTCAGGATACCATGCCCATGAGACACTCTGGCCAATTGCTAACCATTCTGGCCCTGGCTTTCACATTCTCTAACATGCTACAAACTTGTAATTTCATTAAGAGTTCTATACCTAAACTAAAACTAGAGAGATTACTTGTCTGAATACTTTAAAAAAATAATAAAAATAACTTACATTTAGTTGCATAAAGCATTAGGTTTTTTTGTATTTTTAATTATCTCCAGGAGACATGATATCAGCTATTTAATCAATGAAATAAGAATCTGTTACAATAAATAATTTGATCCAGGCAAGTGAATCTCTTATGACTACATTTCAAATTGTAAGTTTTTTGATAAAGTCAACTTTCAACAATTGAAAGCATTTATTAAAAAACTCATTTCACTGAAATATTAAAAAATGTCTAAATTTATATAATTTGCAAAACAAAAAGTTAAGACTTCAATGAAAATTAAATATAAATTTAAACTATATTTTCAACAAAATTTGTAACAAGCAAGATTTGTAATAAGTATGGTGTCAGATTTTATTATGCAATAAAACTGGTTTTAATCAATTAGTATTGGTAATATTTTCAGGATATATTTATATCTATATGATAAATATATAATGAGAATTTCAAATTATAATATAAGTTTTTTTTTTAAATATTTACAATAACTTAAAATGGTGTGAGGTTTTATTCTGTAACAAAGATTGTTCATTCACCATATTATCAACCTTTGTCAACAAGAAAAGTTAGGAAAAACAATATTTCCAAACCAAAAAAAAACCCTTTGAATGATAGATCAGAAATTATAACTCTTTGCATACACATTAAAAAGTTTATCTTGAGTCCATATGAACTGGAATGAAAAGAAAGTATGTACATTTCATTTAACCTCCCCCCACCACCAATACATTTTCAATATCCTTGCTTTTCTCCCCCTCCTCCCATTATATCACACATCACGTCATGCATTTAATTATTTATTATTAAATAAAATGTTCATTAATTTTTAATTTAAAAACAAAAATAAAGTGTTAGGAAATCAAGATCAGAATTGCCTGGAAATACTGAAAGGTATTGTAATCAGCTAATCGCCTAATTTTATATATATATATATATATATATATATATAGCTACATTGGATAGTCCAGATGGCTGATTCAAAGTTTTCTTCTTCATGGAAATGGTCAAGCAACAGGACTTAAAACACAACAGTAGGTAGTTTGAGTAATGTTTTGGGCTAGTATTGTAGGCAATAAAATTATTGGTTACTTCAACGCTGACTATATCAAGCTAAAGTCAGTGAATTATTGTAAATCTTTGAATAAGATGCTTTTAGAGTAAATCTTTAAGCGCCTTCATATTCTATAAAGATGACAATTACTCACCTTGCCAAAAAAGGAGGGAGGGTGTCAAAGAAACCAGAAAGAATAAAAGTTAGAATCAATGTACAAAAGACTGATGGAGGTTATAGAAAGTCAAAAAGACCATATTAACATGTAAAATAATAAAATAATAATTTATTCAGATATAAAGGATAGTACATTAATCAAATGTTTCTATGGCTTATTTATTTTGGATGTATTTATAAATAAAAATTTATATTACATTTAATTTGTGGGCCTATGACCATACCACATTGAAACACCAGTTTTTGGTCAAGCAACGTCAAGCCTGGTCAGTACCTAGATGGGTGACCACTAGGGAATGCAAGATGCTGTAAGCTTTGGATGTACAGGTGGTGAAAGGGAAAATGCCTTGGAACTGGAAATCATAGCTGAGTTCCAATTCCAGTAGAATTCATTATAGTCACTTACAACCAAATGTTCTTTGCAAAGATATGAACTCACCTTTTCTCCACCCAATTACAAATTAATTAGTAGGATTTGTATCAGTAAATCATTATCATCTCCAAAAAAACATTCTTACAATCTAAAAATATTTTCCGGAATTAAAAGCTGAAAAAAACAAATTGATCAAGTTTGATCAAGTTTGCATAATAAATCCTGATAGACTCTAAACAAGTTACCAATATTCTTTAATTGGTAATATATTATAAGCTGAAACACATCCAATGTATTTCACATATACATATGAGCATATCCTGAACATTTTCCCAGCATCAGTAAGTTAATAGCAATTTTATTACAAAAACTGACTCCCATAATAAAATCTAATAGTGTAGCTATCAAATTATAAATTCCAATAACATGAAATTAATCTTTAAAAACATTAACATCTTAATATATTTAAATTGATTTCTTTGGTGTATACAAATAATCCAGAGAGAAAAATTACACACAATGTCTTAGTTAACAATGACAGATTTTAATAAATGTAGGATTCTTATGACAAAATGCAAAAATCTTTCATTAGATTTTGCAATAAACTTTTCTAGAAGTTTACATTTTAACTATGAAAAGATATGACACACTGCACAAAAATCTGTAGAAATAGAAATGAAACAATGACAATAATTGTATTCAATAGCACTGCATTAGCTAAGTAACAGATCAAAATGATTTTGTTATTTAATATGAAAAATACAAACTGGACTTCCACAAGAATTATTTTTAAAGTTATTTTTAGAAAGATTAAAAGATGTATTTTGTAGTCAACAGTTTTGTATAAAACAGAAAGTTTAATTTATCACAGATGTTTAAAGTAGCATTTAACACTTTCACTCCTGCATTGTTATAGCATTGTTGCCTGGCTGTAATGGCCCATTTTGGGAAAAAATAGGAAATGGCCATTTATAGGAAATAAATTACTATAAAGACAATGATGGTGATTTCTTATGGGTGCTGGCATTTTGGTTTCAATCAAATCCTCTGTAGTACAGAATAAATGACAATTCCAACACACAGTATAATAAAAATATGTCACAACAGGTTTTATTAAAAATATGTCACAACAGGTTGTATTATATGCTACTATATGTTTATACTGGTTTGTAAATGGTACTAAGTGCTAGTTATTTTATAACAAAAATGCTAGGGAGTAGCATTTCACAATGTCTTGAAAACACATTTATATATATATATATATATATATATATATATATATATATATATATATTTTTTGTAATGATGTATAAGCACATCTTGAAAACAAATATATGTCAACATTTGATAGCCTAAATTTCATAAACATGTATAAGTAGCAGAAATATTAACAAGTTCCAAGGGAAAAGTACAGCTGAAGTAGTTATCACCAGTAATGATCATAAAAATTATATTCTATCTCCAATATATATCAGAATAACATCTCTATTTCAAGAAGTCACACCTAAGCATTAAAAAAGAATTAGCTAACATAAACTAATACACCTGAAAATGATAATGGTATATAAAAAATTAAATAAATATTTTCTTCTTGGTAACGATAAAGCATAAAATTATGTTTCTTTGGAACTGGCTTACCTGAAGGGTGAACTAGAAGTGTAAGAGCACTAGCGGAGGCAGATTTCTGCAACTTGACCACATCCTCACTGCCAGACATTATTCTGGATTTCTCAGTTATTGAGGACGGTAGCACAGCTGCTGGCAGTACTGATGAGGTGGTTGCTACTGCAGACGTTGTACTTGTCACTTCTCCTCCAGTTCCTCCTACAGTGGTTTTGGAAGCAGGAGTTGATGAAGTAGGCAGAGACGTTGCTACTGTAGATTTTGTCAAAGTCGTAACGCCAGTTGTTTGAGGAGCACAGGTAGTACTTTCCTTGTTTTCATTTTCATCAACTGGAGACAGTTCTACAAAATTACAAGCAATATTTTTTTTTCAAATTTACCATAATTTGCAAAAGTATACAAGTATTGATAAAACTTAATCTCAAGTTGAATGGGTTTTGTTAGATTTTTCAATGAATTTTACAAATCGAGAATAATAGAATAACTAAAATTGTAATCAATAAAATTTTATTATGACAACGTACAATCTGATCATTAACAATGCAAGGTAAATGTTGGCATTTAAGATAATCTAAAAAATCAATGAATATCAAGTCGGATTACTTTTTTACCAATTATACTGAAAGAGTAGACATCATCTCCAGACTGAGAAACTCACATGATTTAAGAAATTCAATCTGTGTATTTTAACAAGTTCACAAGTGGACAAAGTTACCCTTTCAAGATAGATTACAAACCAAAACTGAAGAGTTATCTAAGTTATTTCCCTTGAGTTCTTCAAAAGACAGTCATCAATTTTGTACAGTAAATAATTTAAAAGGTTCTTTGAATTAAATAATTATTTGCAAGTTCTGCATCATAAACAAAGATCAGACCTTTTTTCTGAAGAAACTAAAATAAAGTGATAATCTATAGAGTCCACGTATTACTTTATGGCTTATCTCACATGTCGTTCTGAAGGTAAAAGAAGTGCCTTGTGTATAAAAGCATTGGTTCATTGATACAAAAGAGACTTGTGAGTTCAATACCCGGTGACAGCAGAGGGAAGAAAACTTGGAGTTGATTTATCAAGGGGAATTAACTGAAACTGAGATAGCCAAAGGCGTGGCACATGGAATTGAAAAAATCTACCTCCCATGGACTAAATAAAAAGTTCAGTTCAAAATTCAAAATATCACCTGAAGAAAAACAGAGCGTACAACTGCCGAAATGTTGTGAATGTGGCAATAAAGATGATGACAACAGTCCAAATAATGTAAATAGTGTAAAAAGGAGTGCTGTTTAGAAGAATTTAATGCAAACAAACAACCAAGTTCATCCAACTCAGTAAAAATTTTTTATTCATTTATTCCTTTTTTTTTTTTTTTTTACTTCTGTACCATAAAGGTAAAAAATACAAAATAATGGTATTTTTCTATTAAATTTCAAATTTAATATATGCCATCCTAAAAATATATTTTATTAGTCATAAAAATTTTTTTTTATAATCATCACACTTCTTTAACTCTTCTTTTAAATGGTTTACTTCTAAGAATAGGTATAAATATACTTACCTTTTGATGGCGGGATATCAGAATCAATTGCTGTTGAAATAGAAAATTTTGGTAGCTGCTGAGATGGAGGCGTGCAGGTTGACAAGGAAGACTTGGTCCCAGTCCCAGAACAGCTGCCACTATCTGTCTCAGTTATTTGACACTGATTTTCACTGAAGAAAGAAGATTACAAACTTAATTTATAATAACGAAACAACAAAATAGGCATGTAAATTTTACATGAAGTAGTAATGTTATTTAGAAATTTAACCAAAAAAAATGCTATCCACTCAAAATTATACATTTTTAACAATCTAATAAAATTATCCAGTTTTTTAGATGATAATTGAATCACTATAAATAAGTGATTTCTAAATAATGGATTTTATTGGAGCAGAATCTTACTGAAAATACAATGGAACATATACAAACATGACCTTAGTTGAAATATAATGGAAGATATCCATAATAGACAGCAACAAATATTTAAATTAGATTAATTTTGAAAGTTAACTCTCCAGATTCATGGATTATGAAATAATAACTATAAAATCAAAAACTCAAAAAAATTATTTCAAACATTAGGATATAACACAAAGAAATAGAGAGATTCAGCTATCATCCAGTTCACATTCCTCTCCAATCTTTTGAACAGGAGTAGAGGTTTATCCCTTGTTTTCTGTTTAGGATTAATTTTCTGGTTCGCACTGTAACTCTCTACCGTTAGTGGCTCTTGGGCCTTGTATTGAGTGAACATTAGTAAAAAAAAAAAAAAAAAAAAAAATATATATATATATATATATGCAATGAAGTAAATCTGTTTATTGATCATATGAGATGACTAATTAAAAAAGCATGAATGTACCTTGACCAAAGAATATCCAACCCATCAACTTAGTGGAAATTAATAACCACTTATAAATCTTTTGAAAGCAAACATAAGTTTTATGGTTGCTTAATACTATTATTAATGAGAACATTGATAGATGTAAAAGAACCTGACAAGAATTGCTGATCTTCTGATTAGTAGTTCTCCAAGAAATTGTAGACTATTTGCTTAAAATAGATGGCAATACCAAACTGCAAACTATTCAATTACTTTGCTATAATAATGAGGCAAGAATTTAAAGACTGAAAAAGGGATTTTCAGCCACTCACAAAAATAAGTTAAAATAGATATTACCAAAATATTTGGTACAAATAAATCTAAATACTCAATGATATTGAATTATGTAAAAATCATCAAGCTACACTGTGTTATTGCAAATATCAAAGTTAATATTTTTATATTCTTTAGAAAGATTTCCAGCATTCTAGTTCAAGTTATGACATAATTGTACAATGGAAATATGTCACTATTATGAAAGAATAATTAACTGAAATAATTTTTCTTAACCATCTACAAAATACTGATCCAATTTCCATGTTTGGTCCACAGCAAAAACAGAACATACTGATTTTGTTAATTAAATCCTATGAAAACTCTCTACTTTGAAGAATAAAAAATTTACCAGTCCAATCAACCATTAATTTATAATAAGTTTTGGGTGAAGTCAAAGGGAGATAAATCCAAGTCTGCTCACTACTAATTACAAAGCTGATTCCTTTTTTCTTAAGAATAATGATAATAATAAATCTTAGCAATAATTAATATTAATATAATAATAATTATCATTTTATAACTAGGACATGATATCAGTTTACAAAAAGTAGCAGTTAAGTGAGTTCTTATAAAGTTACAATTTCCTTAATCTGTCTCAATTACTCACTTCAACAACTACAAAGTTTCTACATTGATAAATATCCCAGCTAATAAAAAACAAAAGGAGTAAAATTAATCCTTTCCAGTTTATAAAAATGAAATTATAAAATGAATTAGGTCCTTACCTTTCATCTTCTTAAAACTACATTGATTTTAAAAATAAAATAAAAAACTAAGTAAAATGATAAATATGACAACTTTGACTCCACACAGCATTACATAATTAGGAAAGCCAAACTAAGAAGCAACATTTTCATGCCATTATGACAAAAGAATAGTTTAAGAATCAAATATCCTGAACAAATACGTGCAATCCATAAAACAAAAAGAATCTCAATTTGAAACACAAAAAGCTTTGCAAATTGTAACTATTAAAACTAAATATAAACAATGAAGCATGGCTATTTTGATAGATACGGAAGCAAGTAGCAAAAAGCTGATAGTGCTAACAAACCACATTTTCATTAAAAAGAAAAAGAAAAAATTTAGTCATTTCAATGTTTTTCTAAAGGTACAAAATTTTATTAATGCAATAAAAATGGACATATTAAAAAAATGTAATCAAATATAAGCAGAAAGAGTGACTGTTGGGTTTGAATGTTGTTTACCTGAGGTAGGTAGGTAGGTAGGTAGGTGTGTGTGTGTGTAATATATAAAAACAGTTATTCAAAGAGAATGAGCAGATTTTGAAAATTTAATAAGAACAAATGCTAAGGGACAGAAATGCATTACTAGATAGAAAAAGGCCCAAAGTTATTAAAATAAATGAAATCTTTTTTTCAATCTTGTTAAATGCTTCTTTTTGTTGTTGTTTTTTCAGATTTTGTATAAATTTAAATTGTTATAATTTGTATCAACCCTTAAAATACCCACACAAGAAAAGTTGTTTTGTGTGTTTGTGAAGTGTAAGCTAAAATAATAAACTTTGAACCTTTTTTTATCTAGTAATGTTTTGAATGTGTTTCTGTCTCTTAGCAATTGTTTTTATTAAATTTTTCTAAATCTTCTCTTTCTTTTTGAATAACCTTATCTTTAGAGGATGCGATGAGTAAATTGTTGCGATTTTATATTTTTAATTTTGAGCATGCACATTCTTTGTTTTTGATTTTATCAATTGCACAGTATACTAGGGTCAATCATCTGTGAGAAAAAGAGTACCATGACACAATTCACCCTACCAGAAATTTAGAAACAGCATAGAGTAATAGTCATGGAGGTTGGCTTAGGATAGGAGTAACTCTCAGGAATAAAAATATTTGAAAAAAATGGTATGTATGATAGTGTCTTTGGGATTTTCCCCTATTTAACTGTTGTACACACCTTATTCCTGTATAGAACTCTGAAGAATTAAGAGCAATAACTAATCAGATTTTTTTTTTCAGTTTACCTCTTTATAGTAATTATATAATTTTCCTTTCTCCTTCTTTATTACAAGTTTTTTTTAAATATGTCCATTTTTACTAGATACTTCATTTAGTTATAGAAGAGTGCATCATATTTTCAAAATAAAATAGTGAGGTAAAGATCTGCATAGAATAGAAGTTATATCAATGAAATTAATGAAAGAATTTAACTTTTGATTAAACAAGTGAGGTTGATTATAAATATTTTATTTATTCACATCATTTTTAGAATATTATTCAATAGAAACATTATTAAATGTTCAGAAAATGAATGACTATCAAAATATTAAAAAAATATAATCAACTGTTCAGTGATAAAATATTATTTATCTACAAGTTTATTTATCCTTACTATCATCTTTTGTTTTAAATTGGTTTGATAGACAAGTATTTCAAGATTGCATTTATGAAATACTAAAACTTAAAAAAGAAAATATGTTATCTCTTATTATTAATAAACATGTTTAAAAAGTACACTCCATTTAAATGGATATATTAACCCAAGGAAAACTTATCCAAAAAATTAAGTTTAAAAAATACAACTTATAATTTTAAATTTAAAAAATATATGAATTTTGAGGAGTAAAAAAAAAATTTAAATATATATATATTATAAATTAACTGATTGAAAATTTGATTTTTTTTGCTACACAGTAATAACCATGTTTCAAAAATGGAAGCTAAAAAATTTAAATTTAATTATATAATTAAATTAAAAGTATTAGTTCCGTTTCATATTCAAGTAATTATTGGAATAACTTCATTTCTCTGATTCAGTAAATTTTTATTTTTTATAAACTTAGTAATGTATGTATGCACAAAGGACATGGGTCATTTAATGACCTACATATTCTAGCTTTTCTTATTAATTTCAGAGAAATGAAATAGCTATTTTTTGGCTGTCATGTGTCAAAAATTTTCCTTAAATAATATTTAAAAATAAAATTAAAAATGGGAGCTGGTAATATACATACTTATATTTGATATGAAAAAATAATTTTAAATAATTTAAGTAATTCAATTACATTTACTTGTTTTAAAAAGAAATATAGTCTATTAGTAATTAAGAGTAAAAATATTTTAAAATTGTAATTAAATAAAACCTTTTTCTAACACAAACTCACCCAAAAAGAATCTTTAGGTATACAAGTAAGAAAAAAATGCCGAAAAACGTTTGCTGTTAATAAAAAAACTCAGATGACATACAATTAACAGATGCCAGAATTTGTTGGAAAATACACCCCTACCCTTCCCTAAACTTAACCTCTTTTTCGAACGTACCTTATAATTGATACAACAATAGTTAATAAAAATAAACACGCTACTGCCCCTATCTGAATGAATGGATTTCTGTATCCTTGGAAACAGTAAATTATGAATTTATATGTGTGTTTAAAACTCAATAAATTTAAAAATAAGTTATTCCAATATTCGCTTGAAGATGAAACAGAACTAATACTAATACTAATAATATAAAAAAATTTAAAGTTTTTAGCTTCCATTTTTGAAACATGGTTATTACTGTGTAGCAAAAAAAAAAAAAAAACATATTTTCAATCAGTTAATTTATAATATTTATGCTCTGTAAATTTACATTGAGCACTGTTTTGTAAAAATAAAATAAAAAATACCAATAAGAACACTGGATTATATATCTTACTGTTCTTTCTTTTATATATATATATATATATATATATATATATATATATATATATATATATATATATATATATATCACAGCTGTTTGAGGCTTCCTACAGACCCACTGAACTTAAATAAAGTCAATTCAGGTTTCCTATGGTAAAATTTTCTTTCCCAAGTGAAAATCATCACAAAAATAGCAAAAGTCATTTTGTCACAGCTTATTTTCTCTCAAAATATGGGTTTTCATACTTTTTAGGGGTAAAATATTGAAAAATGACTGTTTTATCATCACCTAAACTAATATCAAGGAAACTTTTGATCTGAACCCCATGAAACTAGGTATTTTCTGAAAGCAAAAGATATATTCTTTCATTTAAAAGTAAAATTAGCTGGTGTAAATGACTCAAAATTTTTTTCAGTGGGTAAAATGTGAAAAAATAGTGAAAATTTTGCATTTTTTTCTTGTTCTAAACAAATATTTCCCCCATTAATGGGAAATTAATTATTTTTTTTTTTTTTTTTTTTTTGAAAATCAGAAAGCCTAAATCATAATAAAACTATTTCAGGCATAAAATTGAGAGTTTTGAAGGAAATCAACATTCCTAGAGGTTCAAAATGCGACAAAATCCATTGGTAATTTTCAATTATATGACTGCCAAGGGTTAAAAAAATTGACACCTGGCCACGGAAATCTTTAGTAAAAGGCAAGAGATTTATCTGCAATTCCTAACCACCAGAAACCAAAAGTTTTTTTTTTTCCTAAAAATAGCGATAAGGGAAAATAAACCTAATTGACTTTGACGTCTAGGTCAAAGGCCAGCCAGCCAGCCAGCCAGCCAGCAATAAACGGACGGCAAACCTTAGAACAAGTTGTAATAAAACCCACCACTCCCAGATAAAAGCAAAGAGTGAAAAAAAAAAAGGGGTTCACAATTACTAGGGCTTCATACAACCTATGTTTGAACAATGGCTTGATGAGTTTACTTTTGTTTTGTTTTTAACACCCCGTGACCCGGGTGATGACAACAACACTTAGCAGCGGACATTGTGTTTTTTCGCCGCATATCTTTCCTATTTCCCATCGCCGGTCCATTTAGCCTTTCTTTTTATTCAATGATGTTCATGCCAAATGAAAGAGAAAGGAATGAATTTTGAATGATGTTATTTTGAAGCGAAAATAAATATTTTTCATAAAAAAAAAAAATTTTTCTCAGAAAATTGGGCATAATTTCTTAATGCTAACTGCTGAAAGTGACATTTTCCACAGCCAAATCGAAGATTAATTACCAGTGAATAATTCCATGTGCAAAAAATAGCTGTCTGGATCCTATAAGGTCGCCCCTAAAAGGTCCAGAAGTTTACTAATTGATCGAAAACCTGTTGCGCATAATTGTATTTTTTTCACGGTCAGTTTGCATTATTTCATCTTGATATTACCATTTTCGGACAGCCAAGTCATCAAGGATTCAGGAAAACAGTTTGGCATAGGTTTTCTTTAAGAACTTTACATTCTATGAGGTGTTTAAAATGTTACTAACGAATGAGATTTTTTGCCAAATATTTCGTTTACGCGCCATGTTGGATTTTCCTATATGACAAAAACAAGGGTTTTAAACAGCTGTGATATATATAATATATATATATATATATATTGCACAATGAGTGCTGATATTAATAAAATAGTGCTCAATGTAATATAACAGAGCTATTAAGTATATATTAATAAATATACATTTTTATCCTCACCAGTAGCATCTCTAACAATGCAATCTTCAGGTGCTGAATAGAGACTAATCGTTCTCTATTCAGCAGGATGTGTTACCAGTGAGGATAAATATATTTCTTATTACTATAAATGCTATATTCAGTGGATACACCTGTTTGAGTAGACATCTATTCTTCTTAATAATTTCAAATTAAAAAAAATTAATTACGTTAAAATTATTTTATTTTTACATTTCAGGTATAAAAATGAAGTTAATAGACATAGTCAGTGAAAAGTCCTAATAAGAGATGTGCATTTCTTAAAATGGGTAACTAAGCCTTGCTTTGCTGTGAAGTCTCTTGTGGATGAGAAGTTAAAAGCATTTTTTTTAATCATTTCACTCCAAGCAAGGCAATAAAGCCACTAAGACATATGGCGGTTACTGAATGTTAGAGAATATGAGAAAAAAAACTGGCTTAAAGTTGGTTCAATCATTGCCAATGGACATCTTTTTCTTTAATAAGTCTTTCAATTTTTTCAGCTGTTATGTACATTTCACTGTGTTTAACAAAAAATAAATTAAAAAGAGATGTCTACTCAAACATGTGCATTCACATCTAACACACACAAAAATGGGAAAATCTGTGGAGGAGGGGGAAAGCAGCAGCAGCAGCAGCAACAGCCTAACCTACCAATCTAAAGAAGTAAAGATGTCATCTTCCTTCAGAGTGAGTTCTGACCTGCTACTTGAACTAGATGTATCCAAAAGATTTTCAGTACATCCACTGCTTCCACTGTTGTTGATTCGGAGAACACGTTGAACTTCCATGGAGCTCTCAGAACTTTCAGACTGGTTCGAATCTTTCCTGTCCAATACTTGCTTCTCAAGCAAGCGGGTCCGGATTTCATCTGAACTAGAATGCCGCCTACGCTCTTTACGCTCCTGTTGATAATTAAAATATAAATACTTAAATATTAAAACATAAATAGGTTGTAAATTTATAACAGTTATATTTTCCAGTTATAAATTACCCTTGATTAGGGAGAAGTTGAATATTTGATTATTATAATCTTGAATTTTATGCCTATCATCTTAAATCACTATGAAAATATTTGCAGAAATGAAATAATAAAATTCAAATGACTGACATAAAATGATTTTCAATTTGCATAATAAAACAAATACCTTGATTCAGTAAAAAAAAAAAAAATCATAGTAAATATATATTTAAGAATGTTCAAAATCAAGTTTTAGCATGTTAACACAAAATCACTTGAAAAGTGATATCTTTTAATAAGTTTTATAAATTATTTAAGAATTTTCATAATCAAGTTTTAGCATTTTTTAACACATAATCAAGTTTTAACATTTTTTTAACACAAGATCAGTCAAAAAGTAATAATTTTTAATATTGCTTTTTGATTAGACCTGATTCTAAACAATAACACTTTTGAATTTGACAACAAAAACTATATCCAAACCCTAGGTACCACAATGGGAACGAAAATGGCACCAACATATGCCACCCTAATATTAGCTTACCTAGAGGAAAACCTGTATGAAAAGACAGAACAAATATATGGGGAAAATATAAAAACTCACTTCATTAAATCTTAGAAACGATACTTAGATGATTGCTTCATTTTCTGGAAATTCTCATGGGGTGATATTAACCAATTCCACACTACTTCAGAATTTACACCCAAAAATCAAATTCACCCAAGAATATAATTTTAACGAATTACCACATTTAGATATACTCATGAGAAATAGAAACAACCACATAATCACAGATATCTACCTCAAATGTACAGACACCCAACAGTATTTTCATTTCAAGAGCCATCACCCCAAAAGCTGTCTGAAATCCATCCCCTATTCCCTAGCATGTAGGGTTTGCACTATAGTGACTGACAAACAACCCAAAAAAACCTGCCTAGAAGAACTACATAGAAATCTAAAAAAAATAAAATGAGGCTACCCGACAGCACTAATAAACAAAGGTTTTGAATTAACAGAAAAAATATCTTTAGACCAACTACAAAATCCAAAGAAATGCAATGTCAAACAAACTCTAGCATAAAAATCTAAACCTACTTAAGAATGACAAAATGAAAAAAATACTAAAAACAACAAAAATAATTAAAAGCAAGCACCAATCTAAAAACCTGAAACATATATTAACCTCATTTAAATTTAAGCAACACACAATACAAGGGGTCAAAATGAAACAAAAATGATGTGGGGGTTGTGATATCATTATAGAAGGAAACTCCTACACTTTTGAAAAACACACAATGGCATTCACAATAAATAAAAATTTAAACTGCAACTCCAAAAATGTGATTTATGCACTCAAACGCACAAAATGCAACAAGTCATATATCAGCTAAGCACTAAACAACAGAGTTTCCCTTCGCAAAAGCAACATCAAATTACCACACAACAGAAAAATCTTTGTATCTACTATGCCAATATAACAAACAAACCTACAAATACAAGGGAAAAAAACTTCATAAACAAATTTAAACCAGCACTAAACAGATCATAACCCAACAAACATAATGGTCAAATACACTGGTTGGACTATACACAACCACAAGTATCTATGTTGAACTAATATATATATATATATATATATATATATATATATATATATATATATATACACACATACTGGCAAAAACACACACGAATCCTACAAAATATGAAGAGTGTGTGTGTGTGTGTATATATATATATATATATATATATATATATATATATATGTATACACACACACACACACAGTATGTTAATAACTATACTTGGTTGGTGTAAAAAAAAAAAAAAAACAGATAACACAATTTGCAAATAAAATATATTACAATAAATAGGTATCTGGGTAAAAATTTTTAGAAAAAAAAAAAAAAAAAAAAAGATTAAAACATCTGAGTAGGCCAAAAAAATCATCCCGTGCGATAATTTCTAGTCCAAAGAAAAAAAAGATCTTCAGTGTAAGCTTACCCTGAAGATCCATTTAGGTGAAACCCAGGTAGGTAGTTCCTGGCTCACTAGGATTATATTTTATATATATATATATATATATATATATATATATATATACAAACACACTGATTCCTTATAATAAGACAGTATGTATGCATGGAGAGGGAATATACACACACATACTAGCAAAAACACACACGCACACACAATACACAAAAATGGAAATAAATCTAAGATACAGGGGTCATAAAAAGATAAGAACAAAGACATCCTTCTTTGCCCTTTCTCTGACCAATCCTAATTGTTTTATTACACCTTAAGCAGAAGAACACTTTTTCCACCAGTCCAAGAAAAACATTTACTACACAAAAAAGACAATGGCTAAACATTGAAAAACTCAAGGAAAATTACTTTTAATAATATGTGGAAATAGCCACCCTTTGCCTGATGAAGGTTGCAAACAACTAACCTATTCCCTCTATATATATATATATATATATATATATTTGGTTGGATTGAGCGCTTTCTAATAAGTACCGCACATATAATATATATATTTATTTTTATTTATATACACACACTTTTCATATATATATATATATATATACACACACACACACTTGGACTTAAAGATTTATATGAAAAAAGCAACTTTTAATAAAAACATATTTTAAAGTAGGATTTTTATTAAATTTATATTAATATACTATTCCAATGTTTATTCTTATAGAAAAAGTTAACTTTACCACATTTCATATGCAGAAACACACATTTCTTTTCAGACATTAGAGGAATCATTCAAATAAATAAGCTTGGAGAATTATTCATTTTAAAAAAAAATCAAATGGGATCCTTCTTATTCTCACAAAACCTTTCTTAAATATTCAGAAAATTTCTTCCCATACTTTAATTTAGGCAGCAAGCATTCTACAACAAAGCATTTCATTTGAATATTTAATAAAACTGGGAGTTGGAATAAGGATACCCTCCCCACCAAAAAAAAATTATCACAGCACATTTATTTTTGAATGATTGATTTGTTTTCTTTTTTTTTTTTTACAGCTTATCAACCTTTTGCCAGTTATTTAAAGTCAGAAAATATTTTTAGACTGGTAAAAATTTTTTATAGTTAATAATTATTTTCTGATACAAGCACTACTAATTAACCCACAGCTGGAGAGAGAAGAGGTGGATTCATGCCATTCCCAAGAGTATACGGGTGTAAGTGAATATAATGAACCCAACTGGAATTGGAACTCGGCTTTCTAATTTTCAATTCCAAGCTGTTATCCATTACACCACCTGTACATCTAAACTTAAAGTACCTGGTATTCTGAAGTGGTCACCCATCTAGGTACTGACCAGGCTCAACCTTGCTTAAGTTCAGTGATCATACAAGACCCGATGTTTCAATACACATCTATTTGAAACTCAAATTTTCATTATCTAAGTTTTCATTTAGGGGAAGGGGCCTTTACACAATATAACAGAGAAAATAATATATCTGTTAATATAACAAAAGCTATACTTTCGTAATCTAGACTCAAGGTTTATTTATTCCAGAAATCAAATATGTACAATAATTTTATACTCTTCTTTTTAAAATTAAAAAAAAATTTTTTAATAATTTTTATAGATAATTTTTAATAATTTTTATGTCCTATATTAATTACAATTGTATTAATCAGGATTAACAATATTATTAATATATCTAATTTTATTTTATTCCTACTTTACTGGTAATCTTTAATACTTTATGTATTAACTATAAATTATATTGATGTGTTTTTCAAGTGTCACTGTGATATGCCTACATATAACTCACTTTTCCTTCTTCCTCCCCCCTCCCCTGTTTAACTCTTTCTTTCTCTTTTCCCCCACTCTCCTGCTTTACAATTTGTCTCCTTTTTTTTTTTTCTTCTTTTCTCTTCCTGTCTAAAAATTATGTAAGAGGTTGTTATAGAGTAGTTTCACAGTGGAGGCTTGTATTTCACTAAGTCGGTCCTAAAATAGGTTCGACATACAAAACGTTAGGAACTTGATATAATAGTTAATGACGCAGAGATCTAGTAGTGGTGGCTGGTACTTTTAGTATCCGACTAACGGTCGTCCGGCATCGACTGACTCACCAACTCACTACGCGACTGACTCGTTATTATTACTACTACTACTACTTATTATAGGTGGGAAAGTCTATTAACTATAGAATAGGTGTGTTCCAGTATAACAGAGGTCAAATTGTCTGTCCCCTTAATTGAGAACACTTGAACCTATGTAAATTATTAAAGATGGTTTACAAAACAACCTTATCCCTACTTTCCATTTCCAATATAGATCATTCTATAGTCCTCCCACTGCCACCATCTATGTCACGTTATATCAATCTAAAACTATCCGTCAAAAACTTGTATTAAAAATAAAAGAAACCAAATTCCTTTGTAACTAGAGATGTGACCTGATGAACCAGGAAAAATATATTTTCTAGGGAAATAGATTATAGTCATAGAACCTTAAGGTTGTCTCTTTCATGATTATTTAATATTTGCTCTAGTGTTACATTGAGCTCCCTGGATTACATCCTCTTTGGAATTATCCACACGGATTACCAAACTCTTCATTACCTTACTATATATATATAGATAGATAGATAGATAGATAGATATGTGTACATGTATGTACCTCTTGAGAATCCTCCAATTTCAAACTAAGTTTATTATAACGAGGAGAACATGAAGAGAAACTGTGAAACATTATCTCCTCAGCATCATCTTCCGTATCCTCAGTTTCCAAGTCAGGATGGCTATAGCGGTCAGTTCGTGCTGAAAAATATCATTAAAATTAAATATTAACTTTCTTGAAATATGGACATCAGTTCTTGTTACAAATGTGCATAGCAAGTATGAATATTTTCAAAAATCATTAAACTTATAAAAATACAATAAGGATGAAATAAAATCTGCAACTTACTATCAAAATAGCTGGTATCTTCTTCACTGTCAAGTTGTGGAACAAACTCTGCTTTTTGTCGCAATAAGCCATCCCAGTCTACACTCAAGAAAAAGATATGTTCTTTAACTTGATGAACTCCACCAGAACCAAGTCTTTCTTGAGGATTACTTCTTAGAAGTTGAGTAATCAGATCTTTAGCTTCATCTTGGACTTTTAACTCTTTCTCTGGTGGCCATTCAAATTGTTCTGTAAGAAAATAAATATAAATTTTATTAAAAAAAAAAATAATTACAATAGACTGTTTTGTTTTTTTCTCAAGAGCCACTATGATAAATAGTTACTGAATGTGGTGAGGAGATAGAAGGATTTTAATTGATTCATTCATTTTCTATGGCTTATCAACTCTTTGCAGGTTATTTAAAGCCAGAAAATATTTTTAGATTGTAAGAATTTCTTTTTTTTTTTAAATAATGAGTTAGTCATACAAGTATTACTAATTAACCCATAGTTGGGAGGAGAAGTGGTGGATTCATAACTTTCCCAAAGATATTTGAACATAAATGAATATAATAAACCTAACTGGAATTGGAACTGAGCTTTCCAATTTACAATTCCAAGCTTTTATCTATTACAGCACCTGGTATTCCTAAGCAGTCACTCATCTAGGCACCTACCAGGCTCGACATTGTTTAACTTCGATGATCATACAAGAATTGGTGTGATATGGCTGGTAGTACATATATTTTTTTAGCCCAACCAAACCTAAGGATTGAATTTATGTTTTAACTAATACTTTAATACACTCGGCCATGTCTCTAGTCAAGGGGGAAGGAAGTGAAGATTATGAATATAAGGAGGATAGAAAACAACTGACTCTTAACTTGAAGAGGTTAAGATTGCAGTGTTCAGATGAAGTATCCATGCAGAAGTATGTTACTCAAGGTAGCAGAACTTTAGAGGAGAAAGCAACCTGAGTAGAACTTTGTCCTTACAAATGAAGTATGGAGAAAATGTGAGTGATTTGACTCCTTAAACATAGCAAGTCCTAGCTGTAAAGGTCTGAACTAGTGAAATGAACATTTGCTATGGAAATAGCAATAGAGTAACAAAAGGCTGTAGACTGAAAAAATAAGTCATCTGCTACAAAATTGTGTAAACAATTTTGAACATTATTAGAACTCTGTTACTGATTATCATGCAAAAAAAAAAATAAAAATAATCCAGTATAATCCCTCTTTAAAGCCATTCACACTTACAATTGTGACAAACACTGACAGTGTTTTATTTCAAATACCTTTATAAATTTTATTGGCTAATATTTTTATATTATTGAGACAAGATGTCTTTAAATTATTTTAACTAAATAATTCTTTACTTCAAATGAAACTGATAACATATGATAAAAAAATGACTATGAGCTGAAGTACAATGTTATGTTTAAAAGTGTATATCTTTATCTAAAAATCAATTGACATAGAAATATTTTTGTCATATCTTTTCTAACCAAAGGCAAACAAAAGTGTTTTTTGCCAGCCAATCATATTTGTATGTTGGGAGATTTCAGTCTGATAAGCAAAAATCATCTTGTTAAAATAAAGTAACAATTATTCACAAAATAATGAAAATATTTCTTAATTCATATACTAAAATTTCAAATCTTAAATAGCTCACTCCAGAAATAAACCAAGTAAATATATATATTTAAAAAAAAAATTAAATACATCTAATTAATTCTGTAATAAGAAAACATTTTAAATCTTATAAATCCTGATTGAATTTTAAAAGACAGTAGGTAACCAAAACATTATTCAAGCAAGAAATACAAATATTCTTCTAAAGCAAATAAAACAATTATTGAAAGTTTTTAGAAAATAGTGAAGTCAAAAAGAATTCAGTAAGAAATTATAAAGATTATTTTTATGAATAAAATTAAACTGAACAAATATGAAGTAACACTTCAAAATGTCTCACCATTGATGACTTGAGAAAAAAGTATTTCTGGTGTTTTTCCAAAAAATGGGACATATCCAGTTAAAAATTCAAAAAGGATAATTCCCATAGACCACCAATCAACAGGTTTTCCTGGAGAGAAAAAAAATGTTTTATTTAAAAAAAAAAAAATTAAAGCACTTTTTAAAAACTATAAAAGAACTACAAAATATGCAATAAATCTTTGCATAGGTATCTCAACATCACTAGAACAAAACTCTGTTGAATAGTAAAACATTCTAATTTAGATAAGCATTTTTTTTCTTATTAATAAAACCACCCCAAGTAAGGCAATAAAGCCACTAAGACACAAAGGGTTACTGAGTGTGAGAGAATAGAAAAAATCATTAAGGAGAGAGAACAATAAAAGAACAGGAATCAAAAAGACAGAATATAATGATTGACTTTGCGTTTAAATTTTTTGAAGGTCAAAATTAACTGGAAAGCAAGAAGCTGAAAGAGTTCCACAAGTGAGAAATGCAAGTGAAGAAACTGTTAGGATAGAACAAAGTTGGCTTTTAAATTATTTTAGATTATTTCAGGACATTTATCTAAAATTCATAATTGTTTTTCTATTAGACTGGCTGCCACACAAAACTAGAGAGCCCAGTCTACCCTGCTTATTATTTAACCTATAGCTAAGGGAGAGAAGAGATGAATTCTGATTATCTTAAATCTTAAATAAAAACTGATTCAATTTACAAAAATAACAAAGTGATAAGTATAATCAAGTACATATGACATTTTAAGATTCAAAACAAAATGTCAATCCATATAAGTTATACAAAAATCTATTTTTATTATCGTTTGGATGAAATAGATCCAAAATTTATCAAGTTTTAAATAAATTGAAACTTCTTTTTAAATATTATGCAGCTTATGTTTTATCTAAAAAAAATATTCATTATTCATCAGCAAATTCTATTTATTTTTCCTTAGTCTTATTTAAACATCTTAAAATATAATGAGTCACTTTCCCACTTGAAATTGAATATTAAATAAATTTTTATTAAAGCAAATTAAAAAATTGTTTTAACAACTAATTTACATCAATAAAATAAAAAAAACATCTTTCAATTTTTATTTTGAGTAATTCCTCACAGCTAAAAATTCTACTTTGATTTTTTATATAAAGTAAACAAGAAAACAGAATCTTGTTTGATAGTTTATTTTAAATGTAATCAATAAAAGCCATGAGTCATTAATCTCTTCAAGCTCATTACTTTCAAATTGTAAACATCAATCAAAATAGGACAAATTTTTAATTGTTCTCATATACAAACTAATTTTATATGTATTCTATTTTCAGTTTTTTTTTGTTTATTATTCTAATCTTGTATTTTGGGCTGCAGACAATCTTCAATGATACCCTTGAGATTTTACAGCAAACAACTCTTTCTTAATTGCAATGAAGTCCTGTTCCTTTGTTGATAATGTTCATTATTTTAATAAATGCAGTACAAATCAAAAGGGTTAATTGGGTCTCAATTATCAATGTTGGTCAGGCAGTCTTGTCATCTTTGATCCACAAAACTTTTGACCATAGTGCTATTCCATGAGACTGGACTTTTTCAGAGTCATACGTGCAAAAGTGAATGAAACTTAGCCAGAATTTGAGCTCCGCTTCTCAAATGGCATAAATTTTTAAGTGTTTAATTTTGTCTATTGAGAAGCACTGTACTGGTTAAGTAATGAAATACCTTTTTTTAATATTGTATATCCTTTGCTCTGGAAAGGTCAGCTACCAAGAATTAGGTATTTCCTAAAATGTGAGGATTAACATGGTATTTTGATAGAGAAAACCATTAATCAGCAGAATCTATACACAACTATGGTGATAAGATATGAAAATATTCTTCAGCTAGTCCAGTCTAATGGAATAGCACTCTGATCAAAAGTTTTCTGGATCGCAGATGACAAATCTTTGCTAAAATTCAGATGAATTAATAAAATCAATCAACATTTAAAAACATGAAACATGTTCCAAAAAACATGACTTGCATAAAATAATAAAACATGAACAAACAAAAAAAAAAATAAAAATAAAGTAATTTGTAATTTATCCTCATTAGAGTTTTAAATATCATATACATAAAAATTGAATTATTGCCTCCCAAATGACAGTTCAAAAATTCATGAAACCTAATAGTTTTAATAATAAAATTTAAAAAAAACCTCAAAACATTAACCTTTATCACTCTGTATGTGACTTCATTTGCTGTACAAAAAGTTATCCTGTCACTGAAGGTAACTCTGATCACTGAATTTGAATTTGTTTGAATTTCATAGTTGTGTTGTCATATCCTGCTATGGCAACAGAAAACATCTTTGAGTGAAATTAACAATATGGTTATTGCAATTAAGAAGCCTTGAAAAAGAATGCAGTGGAAAGGGAAGTAATTTTAATAATGCAGTGTGTTAAAGGTTTAAGACTCAAAGCAAATAGAGGAATTCTAAAACATAAAAAAAAATAATTTATGTGAAAGATAAAGAATTCTATTTATTTGAGCAAAAATATATATGCTTACCATAACCTTGTCGTAAGATGACTTCTGGTGCAATATACTCAGGGGTTCCATACACTTGTTTATCCTTAAACTGTTTGCAATCTTTGTCAAGGGAACCTTCATACATATTTGTAGTCACTAAAAAAAACAAAGTTGATTTTTTGCAATAAAACTGTGTGTAAGGAAAATGTGTTTTGTTTTTTTCTTCTAGGATAAGAATGGCAATAAATTAAATTAAATTATCTTATCAGATCTGAAGACCAGAAAGTGTTTGTTATATATATATATATATATATCTATATATAAACACTAGAGTCAGGATACTGGAGGTAACATGAATCAGCTAAGTGACAAATTTTATATTTGTATTAATCCTATACACACATATATCACTTAAAACATTATTTTTAGAGAATACACATATTTGAGAAGATGCTGTTCAATTTTTTAAACATTATTTATTTTCACATACTGGCCTGATTATTTGAAAATTAGATGAAAAATAAAACAGAGTGTCTGCTCAAATACAGGTATCCACTAAAAATAAAATTTAAAAGTAGTAAAAAATGTCAGATTAATAAATAAAAAATGCATTTTATATATATATATATATATATATATATACATATATATATATATATGTGTGTATATATATATATATATATATATATATATATATATATATATATATATATAGATAGATAGATAGATAGATATGTGTGTGTGTGTATATATATATATATATATATATATATATATATATATATATATATATATATATAGAGAGAGAGAGAGAGAGAGAGAGAGAATAATATGAGTAAAAATTTATCACTTAGCTCATTGATGTTTACCTTCAGCATTCCAACTCCAGAGTTTCATAAGCAGACCTGTCCATCAATGCTTCTGGGGCTATAAGCAATTTACTGATTATATTTTTGGGAGTTTTTCCTTTTTATATACATTTAACATTGGTGTAAGTTTGTGCACATGCAGCCATGTGCCCGTCTCTGCGGATATGTGTTCACATATGGGCACCCATCTGCATGGATGTGCATACATGTAGGGTTTAATGATCACTTGTCTTTTTCCTCAGTTTTGTTTGCTTTTCTTTTGTTTCTTTTCCCTTCACACTCACCCTTTAGCTTTTTCTCTTTTTTTCTTTTTCTTTTGACAGTTGCTGTTTTTGTGGCAAGTTGGAACAACTCTAGACATGCCACCAATTTTAATTTTTGGGTGCTCTATTTTCTTGCTAGGGAAGTTGTATTACATAGCCAAACTGGTTAGCACATCAGATCTAATGACAGTTCCCAATAGGAGATGCAGGTTTGAACCCTGCCAGAGGACACATATTTTCTGACAAGATTTCTCAAATATTCAGGCTGGTAAGTGTAATTAAATATAAATTCTGTTTAATTAAATAAACAGAGCATTTACTCAAATATGAGTATCCATCTAAAATAACATTTAAACAAAAGCCAAATTAAAATATACCAGATTTAATCAATTTCATAAAATGAAAATCACACACACATATGGGGGGGACTATATACACTCCCACTCAGCGGTTGAGCACTTTGGAAGAAAGTGTATTTAACAGCAGCTGCTGCTATAATGCTAAGCTCTTCACAATGAATAGAGCACTCTGGCAGCTAATAATGCTTATATCTTGTATATAATGCATTAAAAATTCCCTTTCTCTGAAGCATACGCCAATAGCCTTGGGGTAAGAGTTTCCAATCCCAAATTGCAGCAATCACTTACCTAGCCACACTGAAGAGCTGTGATACAGCAAAACAGTTTGTCTGTGGATGACTATATATATATATATATATATATATATATATATACACACATACTTATATATCTTCACAAGGCTATTATTTTGTTTTTTAATTTGGTCTGGTGGTCTCATAAGTATTAATTGTAGGAAGTTAGATTTATAATTAAATGTATTTATTATTGTTTGAATTTATGTGCATATGTCTATATTTATACATTTATGTATACATACATGTGCACATACATACATATAAATGTGCATACACAGGCACATGTGCACTTATGTCTGTGCTTTATTATTAATAAACTAGTGCTTCAATGGTAAAGTTATTTTTTGTATTTTTAGGATATTAATTATGGTTGGCTGGATTAATAGAATTTGTTGTTTGGAGATTGTATGTGTATATATATATATATATATATATATATATATGAAGAAATTTTGAAAAAACAAACAAAAAATCCTTAAATGTAGTTAAAATGAAAGAAATGTCGATGTCTGACGTTTTGGTTTAATAAACCTTTTCAAGACAATATTCATCAAAATACAATTCAGTTCAATATGACAAATACGATGGACATAAAAACACAAGTCTTATTCAAAACAGATAACTGAAATTTTAAAATGATCAGCCTTCCGTTTAACATGGTCATTCTGTCATCACATGGGCGATGCTTTCATAACGTATTCCTAAAAGTTTGTGATTATTTTGAAATGAAAAAGAGAATGAAAAAAAATTCTATTAGGTTCTAAAATTCTTGTGTATGCTTGTTCTAGCATCAATCTCGCTAAAAAAGGGAAATATTAAAGAAACCAGGTCTAGTATTCACCGTGCGTGAGATGGATATTATACCTGCTTCATAAATCCTCCTCAATCCATAAATCCATAAAATGTTTGTCACATGAGAAAGGAATTTCAGCTGACAATCCAAAGAGCAGTGAAAAAAAGACTTGAAAATGAAATCATATATGAAACCTGTGATGCACTTTGTTACTCCGGGACAGAAAGTTAGAGAGAGCGAAGATCATCTTGAATAAGTTGGAAAATGATCCTGGAATAATATATATATATATATATTTGAACTTTATATCAATCCTTCATGAGCTTCTAATCCTTAACTATGATTAATTAATGATGAACATGTCATTTACATTTATGATTGATTTCATCATGATTCTTCTGTTAATCATGGAGAATAATTATACATTTTTATAGCTAAAAGTAGAGTCCAATAGCATTATAAAAACCCTGGAAAATTCCAGTAAGATATTGTTAATCATTTCTAAGATACAATAGTTCAAAACTTAAGGTAACAAATGAACAATTTTGCTGTTACACCCGGCAAATTGAGGTATTAATTATTAGGAGGGGAGTAGGTTTGTTTGTTTTTTGGTGTTTGTGCATGCATGCATATGTGTATGTTTAATATTTTTTCATTAATTTATTTAAAGTATATATTATATTTACTTATATTTAGTTGTTCATTTTTTATTAGTGCTTACATGGCAAAGTAAGTATTTGTTTATATGTCTATATTTACCCATTATTTCAGTTTTCTTGTTTAAGAGTTTATTTTGGTTTTTAAAACTACTTATTGCTAATTTTTCCTCTAAGCATAATTTAAAATTTTTACAGTTATTATTGTATGGGGCTGCTCGTTTTATAATTTTCCATTTGATTTTGGTGGGCTCCATATGTATTTTGATAGGGTTGTATTCTTTGCATATTTTTTTTTTCAAATGACATTTCATGGTTATAATATCTTTCTTTAAAAGTTTTTCTATGTCAGTGTTAATGTTATTAGTTACATTAACTTTGTATATTATGTTATTGGTTAAACATTTATTGTTAAGTGGACAATTTTCTTTGTTTCTGCAGTTACATTTAATAATGTTATTTTGCTGCATGTTATTGTTATTGGTTTCATTGAATATTTTTTATTGTACTTAGTTATTATTTTCTCCATGTTATCCATGCAGCTGTAACTAATTTTAATTGTATTTTTGTTGATAATTTTTTGATATTATGCTGTTTTTAGAAAAGTGTTTATCAATTATTTTGAAGAATATTTTCCCTATTTTTGTTTTTATTGTATTGTTGGGGAGGGGGAACCAAATTATATCTCTTTTTCTTTTGTTTGAATTGTTTTTGCATTCTTCTTAATGCGGATTCATGTTTTTTTTTTGTTTTTTCTTACTAGAATTTATTGAAATTCTTTAATTCATAGAAATGGATAATTCTTTTAATACATTAGGGGGTTGTTAGAATTTTCGTTAAATGTATATTGGGTTATTATTTGGTTTTCTGTATGGTTTGTAGGTCCCATTGTTTAAGTTGAATGTTATATCTATTCTAAATCCTTGAATTTTGAAGGTTTTTATTATTGTTGTTTTTTTTGTTTTGTTATTAGTGGTTTTGTAAAATCTAGTGACTTCTTTGAAAACTAGTTTATTGTAATTGTTGGTTCCCATTTTATAAATTATACTGGATTTATCCACTTTTATAAATATTTTTTTTTTTTAGTTGTTTATCATTTTTTGATCTTTTTCAAGTTTTTTTTTAAATTATTGTTGAATTTTCTTATTTCCAAATTATTGATTATGTTAAGTCATTTTCAAAAAGCAATGAGGTCATTTTGTTGTGGTGGGTATTTCAATGATGTAAATACAAATTTGTTAATATTATTGGTATTGTCAGTGTTGTTGTGGTTGTAATCATTGACATTGTCAAAGAAATAGAATACTTTCCATTTTATGCATATTATGAAGTGTTGTCTGTTTTTATGTGAGTTTGATTTTGTAGTTGTATAGTTTTGATATTTTTTAAGGAGTAGAATATAAATATATAATATTTGTCACTTAGCTGATTAGTATTATAAATAAAGTAATTTGTAGAGTCATGATTGCCTATATCCTTTTACTTACTGTCAACAATATATGTATATATCAAATTAAAGTTTACTTTTATGTGAATATGTTGCTACCTTCTTTTATAGATACAAAATGAATACTGAAACAAGAAAGCAAGAAAAGTTCACATTTACTTACAGCTCATGAGCCCAACTTTAGAGAGGCCAAAATCAGTCAACTTTATATGTCCAGTAGCAGTGATTAGTAAACTAAAAAAATGAAAAAAACAAAAAAGATTTTAAATGAAATTAAGAATTTAATTTCCTAAATATATATATTTTTCACTGACAAATGAATCAATTAAAACACAAGAGTACAAAATGACAAACTGACTGTGACACAAGATGTTAGATAAGTGTTATATATTTACAACTAAGAAAATGAATTGATATGAGATTTTGACAAAGTCAAATATATGAATATAATTCCATGGTAAATGTTCAGATATATACACACACACATATATAACGTGAGAGCTGACTAAAGACCAAAGCAAGTTGAATGATTGATTACTTTGCTTTGCTTTATGGCACATCAATCCAGGTGAATCATTTAATGCTGAAGAAGGTTCTCAAGTGAATTAAACATTTTCTTTTGGGAGCAGGTGATTATATAGACAAAAAATTCCTTTGAGTTTTTTGGGGGATGGGTGGGTGGATGGTTGAGGAATTGTTGATTGTATAAACTTGATTGCAAAACAATGGAGTTAAGCAGGTTTGGTAAAGAGTTTTTTTGTTTTTTCATATTTTCCTGTAGAGTCTGAATTCTTTAATAAAATATATGATGTTACTTGGATCAGTATTTTTCAAATCAGTCCTTTAAGTTATCAGATTTGTAGTATTTGTTTCAGGTTTGCTGAAATTTATAGCAATTTAGTAGTATGCGTTTAACAGTGTATGATTCCTGACATGAGACACATACTAGCAGTTCCTCATTTTTTAGTAGATGTTGGTGGGTTAAGTATGTGTGTCCTACACAGAGTCTGGGCTAGTACCAGTTCTTCTTTCCTTATCTTTCAGTAGGTTAGGGGGTCTTTCACTAATGATTGGTTGGATGTTGTGTAATTTGTTGTTTTGACAGTTGTTCCATAATTGCTGCCATTTTTCTTTGATGGACCTGTGGGTCAGAAATCGGTGTGTGGAACATTTACATTTGAGTTCAGCAATTCCTTTGCCATTTTGTCAGCCAAAGCAAGTTGATGTAATTGAACAAGGAGGTTATGGTGGAGAGTAAGTCACACTCTTTATTCAGGCAGGCTCGGTTCTAGATAAGAATTAGAACATTCCCCTTATCACTGCCTGAGAATTGAGAGTATCAAGTAGATCATCCATCATACAGTCATACACAAACTATCTTACTCTCTGACAAACAAACTCAAAAAATACATACATACATTGTAGTGATCTTTACTTGTGGTAAGTTCCTAAAGGAAATTTATGGTGAACTGTCAAATATTTTCCATACAGATCCAATGATTATATTCATTCCCACCCACTCATTCTTTTGAAACTTTCCATTTTCTGTTTACATTATATCAGTTTCCATGGTTCTTTTTTTTTTTTTCTTCATTTCTCTGTTGCACACATTGTGGAACTATCTGGCTCACACAGCAATGGTCATGTTGGAAAAGGCTCCAAAATGATGTCCACTTTCCAACTGATGTAGGTGAACATATGGTAATTGACTTCAGCCATCTGTATGCAAAAAACTTCTTCCTTGTTATCTTCTAAAGAAATATAAAATTAAATTTTTTTTAATAGAAAAAAGGCAGAAAACAAGATTTTGCTAGCGGCTTTCTCCAAATACAAATCATATTCTCCAATGTATCAGCCAATTCTCACCTATATAAAGTGTATTTTATTAAATTTCCTGAATCTATGACAACTGATATAAAGAGAGTTTAAACACATTCCAGCTGACTATTCCCTGCACTTTTGAAATAAACAACTTTTTAAAAAGAGTAAAACTTACTTATCAGGTTTGAGGTCTCTATGTACAATTCCATAGCTATGTAAATATTCCAATGCTAACACAGTTTCAGCAAAATACATTCTGGAAAAAAAAACAGGTCATAATTATTTAAGGTAAAACTAATATTTCACCAATTATGTCAAGATATTGAAGAGATTAAAAGCTTAATAAAAAGAAAATGTAAATACAGAATGTAAATTATATTTTAAAACTTTAGATGTCAGTGTCTATGAGAATGAATTTCAGTAATAAGAGAATTCATACTTATTAATAGTTATCACCACTAATCTGATTTCAAAACATTTTAATAGATTTAATCAAAAATTATCCCCTTATAATCAAGTATTTCAAGTATTACAAGATTTCCTTTTCTTTCTTTTTTTCTGCCTCTCAAAACTGTTTACCTGCTCAACTTATTTAACCCTTTAGCATTCAACATGCTCAAACCTAATGGGCAGAGGAACTTCTAAGAGAAGAGAAGGAATAACCTCAACATCCCCAGTGCAAAAGGAACCAGCAAGTCATTGTACTATTTTGCCTCCAAATGTCACCATGAACCACAATCAGATGGGAGCAGTGTGGGTGTGGTAATCACATCAGTGGAAAATACACTAATTGGCTGAATGATGATACATGGAGCGAGTTACAGCAGTTGAACATGGAGAGCCAATATTTATAGGGTTGGTTTGGGCATGTTGAATGTTAAAGGGTTAATAAATATAAAAAGTTAAATATTGAATAGAAAACAACTCATAGTAAATTTTAAAATTCAACAGGATTTCTTTAGGAACTGGTATCAAATCAAGTTAAAAAAATCGGGTGAAATGAAAAACAACATTTACTAAATGATAATTAATGTCAAACTAATGCAAAGGAAACAGTTTATTATTATTATTATTAATAAGGTTACCAAGCAGCTACTATTATCAAAATCAGTTACATCCCAAAGGCTTTATTTAAAAGCAATTTTAAAAAAACAATAATTTCCAGTCAATAAATTTTAGGTTAATATTTTTAGAAAGTTGTTTAAAACAATGAAGTTAACAAGATTGAAACTTTATAACAATTAATTTAAATTGTTTCAATCTTTTTGTCATTTGCTTTATTGTTATCAGCACTACTTTATCACAATAATCACAATAAATGGCTTCTTATTTTAAATTTAAAGTTTATGCAGGCTTAACTTAGTCTGATCATAATAATCATGCATTCAGTGAGAATTAAATTTACTAGAATACCTATAATCTCTCAGTCTAGCTTGCATGTCACTACACAACAGCAAGTACCTATAATTTTAATGCTTATTAGACCACCCATTGGGTTTCTTTTAAAAGTAGTTCATGATACAAAATCACATGGTAACAATATTATCAATTTTATTATTAATTACATATATTTTAATTTGTATTAGCAATACAAGTTATTGTTATTATTACTCACATTATACAATATTACTTAGATCAAATGCAATAAGAAATTAATAAAAGGATAGTTTTTCAGAATTTGTGAAAATGAATTAGAAAAACCCAAAACACCTTAATGCAATATATCCAGATTTAAAGTATGAAAATAAATTCTTTTATGATATCAATAGTTATATGTTTTACTTTTTTACAATAAAAGAGAAATTTCTTCCATAAAATATACTTTGGATACAAAATTAATACTACAGAAGGTTTATTGTTTCACTGGGTTTCATAGTTAACACATCGCATGAAAATTTGGAGTAATAGATTAAAACAGATGTAGTCTTTTTCAAAATAATAAGTATATTTTTTATTATACATACTTTTTTCTTACACTTAATTTAAAATACGTAACAGCAACAAACCAGTGCACATCTATTTATTTATTTACCATCAAGTCATGTGACACACATAGACTCTTCACTTTTCCACTAGTTGTTTATAAAATTAAATGTAGTGTAGTGAATTGTATAAATATATGTTGCGTTATACATGTTTAGATTTATTTAATAATATTGTAATAATGTATTATGAATGTTTATTATAGTTCACACACACAGTAGTTGGAATATAATATGTAAGTGCTCGATCTATGTGGATTGATGATAAAAATGTCAGAAAAACAGTCATTATTTACACTATTTACATTGTTTGCTTTGTTGCCATATTCATGACGCTTTGGTCGTCATACACTCCAGCCTTCTTCAGGTGATTGGAATTTTGAACCAAACCCTTTATTTCATCCACTTGGGTAGATTGTTCTAGTTCCACATGTATACGTCTCTTCCAGATGTCTTGGTTATCTCCCTTTAACTCAACTCCCCAAGTTTTTGTTTACCACTGCAGTATTGAACACACAACACTTTGGGTGAAATCAGTGAATCTTAACCAATGTTTTTATCCTTAAGGACAAATGGCCCAGTGGATAAAAGCATTGGACAAAATAAAGGGTCCAAGCTCAAAATTCCAATCACCTGAAAAATGCTGGAGTGTACAATGGACAAAATGTGAATATGGCAACAAAGATGAGGACAACAGTCCAAACAATGTAAATAATTACAATACTTAATCTCAGAAATATAGACAGATAGAAAAAAGGTCCTAGCTCAAGAAATCCTTGCCTAATTTTAATGAGATTTGACAATGCACTTGGCAGAGATTCAAGGTACAATATTCTCATAAATTTAAGCTGTATCTCAGCAACATACATACATACATACATACATACATACATACAAGATTAGAATTTTAGTATTATATAGATATATAAACTTATACTTAGCCACAAACCAAAATAAAAACAAACATCAAAATCAAGTCAAATAATAAAAAAAATGTAGTTAATTTCTAAGCAAAATGATTTTTACAATTTTCTTTTTCTCTTGTCATACCTTGCAAGATCTAAATGAAGACCTCCTGTGAACTTCAGTAACGTGGCACAGTCTCCACCTTCCACATATTCCATGACCATACACAAATGTTTCTGTTTAGGAAAAAGACAAGTATTAAAATTATTAAATCAATTAAACTCAAAAGTTTTGTTTCAGACACTAGACATGTTGTTGAACATTGCATATACATTTGTAATAACAATGCAGCATTTTTAACACATCACTGAAATGATCATTAGCTTACTTTGAAAGATTAATATTGAAAAAAAAACACAATCATATACAATAATTATAGATTAAGTGCTGCATGAAATACAACCAGAGAATTGTTTATTATGTTCTGTAGCAACAATGACAATGTATTGTCATTAAAATCTCAAGTCATTGACAGGATTTCAATAAGCATAAAACAAATCCTTCTAAAGTTTATATATTTATATTGCATTTTTCATCTGAGTTTTATATCAGCTATGATACCATGATTGGGACACCCACATGGGGGAGGAAGGTTTTATCATATCTCAAGTGTTTCAGTTTTATACCCAGAGGATGCGATCTTTGATGTCGGGTCTTCCAAGTGACATTCACTTAACCAAAGGGGAAAAGAAGAATAAATTAGTGGATGATGGTTTTTGAGATCAAGCAACAACCAGCTGGACATTGATGATTTCCAATTGCTGGTTTATTATCAACAGTCATGGTTAGAACTGAGGCATCCAGTTCTGGAGTATCCTTAGCAGGGGACAGACCATAACTCAGATAGTTCTGATGCCAACCATACATATTGCCAGTCACTTAACATGATGTGTAGATGGGTGAGAGGTTTAGTAGAGGGAAGAGCTGAACTGTTAGAATGAAGTGTCACCTACCTACCCAACCAGACCAAGCAAGCGTAACCCAAAATAAAACTCTTAAATATACTGGAAACAGAGTTTGAGTTATTTCTCAACATAGCATTTGTTTTCATCTTTTGTTACTTAGTGAACATGCAGTGGGCCTTTCCCAGTTTTCAGTGCACACTGACGTAAATGAGAATAGAGATGCAAAGTGGGGTAATCATTGGCCAGTCAGTGGAAAGCTAGGTGAGGGTCAAGTTGCATGTTTACAAGCCAAGAGAAAATGAAGTATGAACATAATCACATCTGCTTTCTTAAATTTATACATCTACTGGAACTTGACTAGAAACAACATTGTGAAAAGATTCTTTGCCTGCTTTATTTATTTCTTTACAACCAGAAACAAATAAATTTTATCAGCTTCACATAGATAAAAATCTTATGGTCCTTATTTTTTTTCTAATCTTATATTATCAATTACTAAGATAAGATGTGCTAGAATCTGCAAAATTAGGACAAAAACAAGAAAGCTATCAGGAGGGAAAAGTAAACATTTCAAGGTAGAAGGGGATGTTTTCTAGCATTACACATCTGTTAACATGTTTTTCAATACAACAATAAGCACTTAACTAACAAAAAATTTAAAAAGCAGTTTTGACAAATAAAGAATTTCTTTTGCAGAAATCTCAACTAAAATTTTACAAGGGGTGATGAAAAGTTCCAACTAACTTCTTAAAAAATAGCCAAACATCAAATTTCCTTTTTTTTGAAAGACTTTTGTTGGGGCCATGAATTTTTCAGCACCATTCAGCCATATTATCAATCAAAATATTAGAAACATTGTAAATTTTATGCTTATTCTGTTTTAGTAATTCTACAAATCTACATGAAAATATTTTTAAATATTTAAAACATTCCACATATGAAAGAGATTTACATTTTATAGTAGTAGAAAAAATAAAATTCAACAGTGCTTCTGAATGTTTTTTAATAATAAATCCAAATAACTAAAAATTATTATAAAAAATATATTCATTACAAATTTTTCTACCATAGTAATAAACAGTTTAAAAATAATAAATATAGAAAAATTCACAATTAACTTGAATGACTAACACACTTTAGTACAGTGGTTCCCAAACTTTTTTTGTCTGGACTGCATTTTCAGAATGAAAATGTGCTTGTGCTTCAAATTTTATGTCATAAAAAGTACATTTAAAAATAAACAGAGGAAGCTAAAGGGAGATAACTGCAGATTCAAAGTCGAAACATTATCACTGATAACTCTCTCCTCCAATTTGCAGACTCTAATTACTATATTCTTAATACTTGATATAATACAAAAATATCACAATGATAAAATCAGTCAATAATTATTTATAGCTATTTACACTGGGACTCAGACATGCAATTACAAGTAATCCATAATAATATTTTAAATTTTGAAATAATATTTATTTTTGGAATATGAATTTTTGAAAATATTTCTGAATCTTTGATTGTTTTTCAAGCATTCCGCCTCACCTGCTATCCTCTTCCACCACACCTATGAGGCACACTGTACTGTTTGGGAACCACTGCTTTAGTATAAAGTACATTAAATACAAACACAAAATACAAGATAACTCACCTTGGTTTCAAAACTGCAGTACATACTCACAACAAATGGATTGTCAGTAAATGTAAGGATGTCTCTTTCAACAAAAGCTTGTTCAGTTTGATTGCGCATTATTAAATGATGTTTTCCTATTTTCTTTATAGCAAAACGTTTCCGAGATTCCTTGTGCCGTACTAAATACACAGCTCTACAAAAGTAAAGTAAAATCATGTTAAAAAAAAGATTTTAAATTGTACAACTTTAATGGCAAGGTAAATAGTTATAAAAACAGTACAAAATTAAAAGCAATGCTTTTTTTATGTAAACCCATTTTAAGAGAAGTTTATATTTTCTCAAAAAGTATAATTATTAAACATAATTAAAATGTTTAAAAACCATTTTCTGAATGCCAAAATATTTCATTATCTAAGCATTTTGAAAAGTCTAATTTATAATATTGCAAGTTTCTATACTTCTAAAAGAACTTTTTATCTTTTGCTTTTTTTCTTTCATGACAAAGTTAGCAAAGAAATAACAATTTATATTAGTGTTTACTTACGCAAATGCTCCACTGCTTATTAGTTTTATGGTTTCAAAATCATCTTCTGATGGGGTTGCTTTTTTCTTAGTCTAATACAAAATAAAAATTGAATTAAAAAAAAATTGTTTAAAAAATAAGTAATATAAAAATAATATGGCATTTTAATGCAGAAGACGAAAACTAAAATAAATATAAGTTTCAAACACACATTACTTACAGAATAAATAATTTTATAAAAAATACATCAAAATTATCAGCTGTAAACTATGAGCCCATTTTTTCCTTGTCAGATCCTTCCATGAGAACGTGACTCTGGTTCTCTACTATTTTCTATCTTTCGTTGCTCTAAGTAATTTTTAATCTTTTTATCAATCATCTTTGTAATTTTTCTGCCATCCATTCCCACAAGCTCGTTAAATAGGATACTGTTCTGTCCACTTCTATTTCTTTAAAAAATAAAAATTTAAGTTTTAAATTCTTGAGGCCCTTTACTCAGAAATTTCAGCGGTCCATGTTTCCATGTTCCTATTTTTTTTAACATTTCCTCATTGTTCACATGTTCTTTGGAATAAACAAAGATCTACATGAAAGAGAGCAATGCCAGTCAGGCTGGCATAGCCGAGACTAAGCAAGCATTCGACAGACCAATGCAGTCAGGTTTGCCAGATCTTGCCTGTCTCAATCCCCTTTGAACCACGAGTTGTACAGAATAGTCCATCAAAATCAAATTCATGCGAATGGCCTCATCAAACTGTTTGATTTACACCCAATTCCACCACTGCCACTTGAAGAGAGAAAGGGAATAGGGAGAGAGGATGACAATGCTCACGTGCCAACAAGAACCACACAACTACATCTCTGTTGCTTCAAGTGTCTTCTTCATCTGTCAAGAAATTGTCCCGTATACACTGCCATATAGAAAATTATCTAGAAGTTCAGCACATTTTTTGTTTCTAACAAGATTTTCCTTTGTCTTATTACTTTTAGTTTCTTGAAAATATATTTCACTAGTCACATCTCCTTCAGATTTTTCTGTCATATCTTCTGCCATCTATAATTACACTACCCAGATAGTTGAATTTCTATACATGTTTGATTTTGACATCTCCAATATGTAGGTCATACCTTGGGCTGTCTCTTTTACTGATGACCATACACTCTTCTTACAGTTAATAGTTAGCCTTTTCTTCTTCCCTGATCTTTTGAACAGGAGTAGAAGTTCACCCTTGTTTCATGTTTAGAATTAGGTTTCCAGTTCCTTCTAAAGTCTACTTCAACCCTATACTTCAAACATCTCTGCCAAAAGCTCTGTACTATGTATTTACATTTTTTTTCCTCAATAGGAGTAGACAGGTTTGTCAACTGCCTGGTACACACTCCTCCCTAATCTTTTGAACAGTAGAGGTTTATCCCTTGTTTCCCGATTAAGATTGGGCTTTCAGTTCTTTCTAAAGTCTGCTTCAGCTCTATACTCCTAACATTTGTTCTTTCCACACAAGTCCACAGAGTAACCCTCTACCTTGAGTGGCTCTTGGGCCTTGTATTGGGTGAACATTAGTATAAATAAAAAAAAAATAACTATGTATGTATGGTTGACTCTATTCAGGATCATAGAGTTAATGTGAACTACATGATCCTTTCCTTAGCTGCTTAGTATGTGCTTCACAAGGGTTACAGTTTTGAATTCAGAGTTGTCCTTCTACTAAACTGGTTGCCAACCAAGACTACAGAGCCAAGATTTCACTACTATTTAACTCATAGTTGGAGGTTTTGAATTTAGTGTTGTTCTTCTCCTAGATTGGTTGCCATCCAAGGTTATAAAACCTATTCTATCTTGCTACTTACCCAAAGCTAAGGAAAGAGAAAAGAATGATTCGTACATTTCCTAAGGGTATATTGCGCATAAGTGAATGTAACAAACTTAACTGGAATTTGAACCCAGCTCTCCAATTCCTTAATCTGAACCATTATCCATTTCTCCACTATACGTCCATACGAGAAATGTTGAGAAAAAAAAATGGCTGACATTGCCTCATATGCACTTTTCCTGAATACATCTAAAAAATAATTCTTGAGATCATTAAAATAATTTCATCCTTTGAATGAAAGTCGATCATGTAAACTGAAGAATGACAAAAGCAGTAAAGAGAATTTTCTAATGTCAACATTCATATTAGAGTTAAGAATGAAAAAGAGGTGTTGTAAAACAGCTGGGGTAATTAAAAAGGAGTAGATAGGCACACCTATTGCCCGGTTCACACTCCTTCCCTCGTCTTTTGAACAGGAGTAAAGGTTTATCTCTTGTTTGCTGTTTAGGATTGGGTTTCTGGTGTCTTCTCCTAAAGTCTTCTCATTTTCTTTCATAACCCCTTGCAACTTAGTGGCATCATTGCCTTGCTTGGGGGTGAAATGAAAATGAAAAAAAAATTGAAAAATGTGTGAGAGATTTCATTAAAGAATCATTCAAAAATTGATTAACTTACAGCATTACTATCAGCTGATTCTGCTCCACTGGCACAGTCAGCAACATCAGTATCATGCATTCCAATTTCATGAACATCTAAAATATGAAAACAACATGTCTAAGAAAAGAATAAAAAAAAAATATTTAACACAGTAAGTGTAAAATTAGTAGTTTCCATACAGAAAATATTTGGCATTCATTGCCCAAACAATTATTCTCAGCTGAAATTACTAAAATTTTTTTTCATTTTTTACAGAAATTAGACTTCTCAAGTCCACTTAACTGTTATAGCTCTTTCTAATATTGATGAGAGTTTCTTTCAAACTTTTTGTTTTTGGTAATCTGGAAAATTAACATTTGATTATATCATTATTTTCTTATATGAAAAATTACTACCCATTTTTATTGTTGCTACTGTTTGAAGCATTCAAGTAATGTGGATTTTGTTATTTTTGTAAAGCTTTTTGTCATTCTGTAGTGCTGGTCTATAAGGTTTGATGAAGGAGTGTTTTCCTTAAGATTAATTCATTTGAAGACATTTTTAATCAGCAATCTGAGAAAATGGTTTTATACAGATAGTTTAGATAGCTATGAGTTAAGATAAGTTATGTGATATTTAATAGACTAAAATAATTTTTTTTTTCAGATTCCAAACTTAATTACAATATATGGAAATTTTAATTTTAAATTGAAAAGTCAGCTTGCTTAATGTAGGATAATAAACTAACATAACAGCCCTTAAAAAGTTATATTTAAAAAAAAACAACTGAACACAATACATGATACAGCTAATAAAGAAAAGCTTATTTTTAGTTATCAAGAAACAATTTTTTTTTTTTTTTTTTTTTTTTACAAACCAGCTAGTGGATCCCGGTTCAATCCCAATTTCTGGATGATATATTGTGGGATGTCAGCTTTGACATACTGACGTGCATGGCCTTCTGCAGCTTCCAGCATATGATAAAACTGCTCTGGATCAAATTCCTTAAAAAAAAAAAAAAAATTTCATATTTTCAACTCAAATATTTAAATGAAATAAATATGTATAAATACACTCTAAAACAAACCAATAAAAATAAATGCCAGGCTTTATTATAAGAAATTCAAAAAATGTGCAGCATGTGACAAAATAGATCCTCCATATGACCAGCTGAACATACACGGTCAAGTAGCCTGAAATTATTTTAGAGACAAAAAGTTTCATTTTTTTAATGGCTGGAAGAAGTTTTGAAGTCTTGTGTTCAGAGACAACCAACTTGTCCAAAAGGCAAGAAAATAAAAACAGGGGTCAAACTGCACTTCATCAGAAACCAGATGCTTTTGCCTGCAGCTTTAAGTCCCGGTTAGGATAGGAAAGAGAGAAAGGAGGAAATAAGAAGTGATTAAGGTACCTATTTGCCACCCTCACTACCCAAAAGAATACTAAATCTGACCGAGAACTATTGAGAACTGGATTTATGTTTTCATCTTGCATTTCTAGCTGAATGTGCAGCAAACCACTTCCAGTTTTTGTGCACACTGGTGTAAACGAGTAGCTAATATGTAGGGATTGATTTGTCCAGTTGGTGGTAGACTGAGAGAAGAGCCCTGTTGTATGTTTACACAGCATATATTAACCATGATCTACCACTATGAGTTATCATTAATTACATTAGGACTAATATCCTTATATTTGTTGTTATCATCACAATGTTTTAGCTGTTGTGCTCATTTGGCTTTCTTCAGGAGTCTGTCAATCTGTGTAACCTTTAGAGAATTTCAAACAGAAACTTTTGTTTAATTTACAGGGGAACACTGTTCTTGTTCCATTATGTCTTAGGAACATTATGTCTTGCCCCTATTTAGTACTGTTTGGTTATTGCTAGTTTTGTTTCCAGAGTCTAAATCTGTACAACCTGACCCAGAGATTTAACTCACAATTACTACGTTACCAAATTCACAAAACAACACTTGGCCATGAAACCTAAACAAGGTTGGAAAGTACAGTGGCTGAAACATTGTGATAACAACAATGTTTAATTGATTGATTGATTTGTTTTGTTTTTACACCTTATCAACTTAGGTTATTTAAAGCCAAAACACATTTTGGATTGTAAGAATAATTCTTTTTCGCAAGTGAATATTGCATTAACAATTTTTTTGAGAATAACAATATTTTCAGGTACATGGACCACTATTTAATCCATAGCTGGGGAAAAATGGATTCATACCTTTCCTAAGTTTAAGTGAATTTTTAATGGCATATCAACTCTTTAGAGTCATTTCTTGCCAAAACTGATTTATTTTGGTTAAATTTAGGGAAATTTGTTTTTTATATATATTTTCAGATATAATCCAACTGATTTCAGGAATATTATAATTCTATTTATTTTAATATTTTCGAATAGTTCTTTTAGATTGTTTGACTTGAAGAAATTGTGTCTTTTGGAGTCAAGATCAATGCATTCAATTAGAAAATGTTTTACCATATATTGGTTTTGGCATTGTAGGACACCATGGTGGTACTTTTTATTTCAGTAAGAATGAATGCATGATTTTAGTATAATCTATTCATAGTTGTGTTATAGTAACCTCTTCCCTTCAGGATTTTCCATAAGTACCAACCCTCAGGAAAAAAAAAGGACTTAGTTGAATCAAGGTTCATGCATATCTGATAATTCAAAAACATAAGCTTCTTTTAAGAACAGAAAGTGAAGAAAATTGTGAAAACCTTCCAAAAAGTAACTGGTGCATTTCAGTTGAAAGCAGATCATTTCATTTCCCTGTTTAATTATATAAAAATTACTTTATAACATTTCATTTGTTTTTATAAATACTCTTGAATATTTTTGAAGCATGCAATTTTTATACAATATTAAATGAGAATTGTATTTATAAGTTTCATAACAATTTATAAAGATACAGCCCAAATGGCAATGTTATAAATCTGATTTTGCATACAAGTTTTAATAATCTAATTTAATAACTTCAAGGGACAAAAACAAAAATGAAACAATAACCAATCAGACATGAAAAGGAAATTTCTTTTTTCAATCAATTCACCCAAAGCAAGGCAATAAAGCCACTAAGATGCAAGGGGTTATTGAAAGTGAAAGATAATGAAAAGATTTTAGAAAGAACTGGAAATCCAATCCTAAACAGGAAATAATGAATAAACCTCTACTCCTGTTAAAAAAACAAGGGCGCAGTGGTAACCAGATGATAGGCAAACCTATCTACTCCAATTATCGTAAAAGACTGACTTTAATGTTAAACTTTTTTATTTACTATTTATTTTGTTACTGTTTAGAATTTGGTTTCAGTTCCTTCTACCAAAATTTTATCCACTATTTATTTTTTTTTCTTCTCCTTAATAGGAATAGATAGGTTCACCTATCGTCCAGTTCACACTCCTCACCAGTCTTTTGAACAGGAGTAGAGGTTTATCACTTAGGCTTCCGGTTCCTTCTAAGGTCTTTTTATTCTTTTATGTTTTCCCAATCATAACAATCTTGAGCTCATCAAGTCTAAAATTAATCGTTATCTTTCCTGCATAACATCATGAACTTCAATTCTTGCCCTTTCTTACTCTCATACAACACCACACAGTTATCCCATGTCTGGCAACAGGACTCTGCACAATACCACACAAGCAGGCGAACCCAGCCATGGCTGTCAGATAATTTCTGCAACCACATTGCCCCTTACATCTGGCCACCTAACTCCTCAGACTTGCAACCCCCTTCATTATTATGTAAGGGGTGCAGATGAAAGAGAAACCAACAAAACTCCTTGTAACACCAAAAATAAACTGAAAGTAAGGATTATGGCAGCATTCACCAACTTAAACAAGGAGACCGTCCAGAAGAGTTGCAGGAGATTCTGAAGTCATCTGCAGGTCATGGTTGAAGTCAATGGTGATTTTATAGGAATAAATTTCCTCATTTGTATTTCAAGATATTGTGTAATTTTGATAAATATATCTGTTAAAATGAGATGTTATTTTCATTTTCTGCATAATTTACACGACAATTTATCCATCGCACTTTTTTCTTTTTTTCTTTCTTTTTTTTTAAGAATATCATCAACCATGTGAGCCTAGATACTATTTTAAAGCTCCTACTACTATAGATTACATTCTATATTCAATAATACTTTTAAATATTCCTTGTATTTTGAGCAGGAAAAGTAATATAACATACCAAACATTCCAACAAACGTGCTGGTCTAGAAACTATGATGAGTAGTTTCTTAATCAAAGGATATAGATGCTGGGAGGTTTCTTCTGATCTTTCTTGTGCCTTAAAAATTAAAATAAAAAGTGTTTGATTTAATAAAAATAAATAATTCCCATCTAAACATTTGCAATGTTTTTAAAAAAAAAAATTTGTTTAAAAGTCTAAAAACAGATTTTTTTAAATTAAAAAAACAAACAAAAAAAAAAAAACGAGAAGTATTACTTACATCTTTTAAGAGTTTTTCCAAATTCTCAGACAGTTCACAGAAGTAATTACCGGTGATCAATTTTTCCTTAGATTTTTGAAGGCAATCTCGAGCCATCTCAAGAACTTGATGGTGAAGGAAACTCATAATAGCATCAGAATCAGCTGGTGCTCTGTTCATATCAATAAACTGTTCTAATCTATCTTCCATTTGGTCAGTTGCCTTAATTAAAAAGAAACATTTTCATCATCAATATATTCATTTACAGTGTGTTGCTAGATTTTATCTAAATAATTATAAAAAGTGTTAGAAAATCATAAAATTTTAGTCAAGTTTTTGTGTACATGAAATATGAGAAAATCACAACATGAAATAGAAATGGGTTTAAGTTGGATTATATAAAGAAAATTACATTTTAAGCTTTTACGTTTTTTAGGCAATCATCTCAAAATCAATGTAAAGGTATATATGAATTTAAAAAAATGCCAATGATTAATGCAACAGTCAATGATACAAAGAAATATAAAAAACATTAATGACGAGTTGGGTGCAACAACAAAGCAGAAAATTATTTACTGATAGAATTTCCATTCTCTCTAATATCTTGAAGCAACCAACTATTAACAGAAGAATTTGAGAATTACTTCAGGAATAATAGAGTTGTAAACAACTATAATCTTTCTCAAAATTCATTTCTGGATAAAAATTTCTTTTTGCTCTCATAAACGTGTCTCTTGAGAATGCTCCAAGTGTCTACAATGAGGTTCACATCCAGTAGGATTTAACATGGCAGCAAAAGTCATATTACTCTCATTTTTAAATTTTATTTTTTCTAAATATTCCTTAGTTGCACTAGTAAAGTGAGCCAGAGTGGTGTCATGTATTAAAATGACTTTTCATTTGAATACCAATGACTTCTTCAGATATGCTTATGGTTGGCCTTTATATAAATTCAATGTAAGCAAAGAAGTGATTTTAACATCAGTCTACCCTTCCAGAGACAACCAACTTATCCATGAATAGCACTCTGAAAATATAGTTTTAAGTACTATCTAACTCAGCTGACACATATTAAGGTACTTCGACTTAAAAAGAGTCAAAAGAATTAGCTTGGTACACATTCCTTCAGTAGCTTGATGTTTTATGCACATTTGGAGCCTCAATGGCTTTGAATAGCTCTTTACTATTCTAAAGTGGGTGCTTGCACATCACAATTTTCAGTTTGATTTCTATTTACAAAGTGTAAATCAAGGATTTCTGTATCTCCCTTTTGTCATTGTTCATACATTGTATGCAACTGAGTAAGTAACAAAATTCTTGATTGTTCAATAGTCTATTACAAATAATGTTTAATGTTGCTTAAGGATCATAAAACATTTGAATGGTTTTTACCTTATCATTACTGAAACATGATTTACAACCCACATTACATAAAAATTGGAACAGTGACAATGAAGCAACATTTTATTTAATTAAAGTATATACTTATTTAACATTATTAACATATTTAAACAAAGTCAATGGGATAAGTACTTATTATTTATACTATTTACATGTGGACTATTGTCCTGATTTTTGTTGTTGTTATTATCACATTTCATGTGTACAGGTATACCTCACCCTACGTCGTTAATTGGTTCCAGAGGTTACAACTTAGGTCAAAAAACAACTTAAGTAGAAATAACTACACTATAAACTGCAAATAAGTACTCCCTATTGCATATTACAGTATTTATGATATGTACGTACAGTATTCTGAATAAAATAATTTACCAGCAATAGAGCCTTACGCTTAGTATTAGCAATGAAAGAAAAATCTGGCAATTTTTTCCAATAAAATCCAGTTTCGTCAACATTAAAAATCGGTTCAGGAAGAAATATTAGCCAATGCTTTAGGAAAATCGGCTGCTTCTTGATCGTCAGCTGATGCACTTTCACCTTGCTTCTTAATAGAGTGATAACTTCTTCGTTCTTTAAATCATAAACCAGCCTTGACTTGCTTTAAAATCTACATCTTCCTCATCTGGGTATTTTTTGTTTTACTTGAATGATTTCTTGACTAATAGCAGTACACTATCAATCCCAAGAGAAAGTTGTTGTCTCATCTCTTCAAAGATTTTTCCTCTTTTCTTATTGATAACAGTATTCTTCATTCCTGGGGCATCAGATTTGATATGTGCCAAAATCTTATCCTTATTGTGGACAATTGCCAATACAGTTGTCCAACTCATTCTAAAACATCAAGCAATTGATATAATCTTTTTCTAGTGATATTACAACTTTAATATTTGTGGCAGACAGATACAAAGTTGAATAAAATGGCTTAAACTTGATTTTTCCATATATTTTTTTTTATAAACAACGTATAATAGAGAATGACTTAACTCAAAATGACATAACCCGAGGTATACCTGTACTTGGACTCCATGGAAATGACAAATAATAACTAAGCAGTACTAAAAATAAGTTTAAAACTAATCTTAAAATTATTGTTTAAAAAATAAAACTACTGTGTGGTAAACTATTTATAATGTACATCATTATTCTTTTAATTTATTAATTTGATAGAATTCATTATTACAAGGATAGACTCCTATGCTTATTTTGTGTATAACAAATATTTAAAAAAAAAAAAAAAAAAAAGTGATAGAATTCTAAGTTGAGAAGTCCATAAAATATTTTAGAGTATTCTTAACCAAGTTTTATCATTAAAGTTATGGAAGATTGTAAACTCACCAGAAAATAAAAATTATTTTGTAATTATGGTCAAAATAATATAATTTCTGTAATGTCAAAACAACTTATAGCAGCATAAAAAAAATTTTAGTTTAACTATAACATTATAGAGATTTTCAATTTATAATATTCACAAACCCATAAAAAAATAAAAATACAGCAAGAAAAATATATCATCTTTTGGACTTTGATCACTGACACCCCAACCAAGCAGATATCTTCACTTGATGTAAATTTTTTCCAACAATATGAGCATCTTTCATTTCAAGTTTAAATGACTAATTGGCAACACTAGGATTCATGTGGCTAAGTCATTTCTTGAAATATTTGCTAGCAAATAAATCTGGAAGAACAAGCCAAAGACAGTTCTATGTCTGCATGCATCTTTCTCAAAGAGAAAAGAGGTGCAAAGAATGCACAGCTTCATTGTGCATGGAATGCTTCAAGGTCTATCATACTGTTAAGAAGTATTAAATTTAGGAACTTAACATTTGTTTTATTTCCTTTTTCTTTTAGACTGCTAAAGAATTATTAGATTTATTTTTAAATCAGACATTTTTATTAATTCAAATATTATTAAAGTAGACAGTTATATTTAAAATGAGATGTCTGTTTCAAATATGAGCATCCAATATACTCTTAGATTATAAAAATATAATTTTAAAGTTTTTGTATATAATTAAATAGAAAATAAGCTTAAAAGCTATCCTTTAAAAAAATGAATTCTCTAGTTTTTTTTTTTTTACAATCGTGCAACCTTTTCCCATCATTTAAGGATTAAACAATTCCAAAATGTGAGGTAAAAGTGCAAGTAAAATTAACCAAATAAAAGAAATATCAGATTAAGGAAATAGAACTTTAATTTTTATATAAGCAAAATCAAAAACAAAAAATGGGAATTTAAAATGAAAAATTTACCTTCGGGAACCTCTCTTTGTACATATTGTTCATCATGACTATTTCCATGTCACCTGCTGGGGATCGAGCCGGACTACTGCAATTACAGATAAATTGTTATATTAGAATAATAGTCTAAAAAAATGATTTTTAAATACATAAACAAAAAATGAGTAAATGGAGTAAAAAAAAAAAAATCAAATGTGACTTTTTAAAAAAATTTTCTTTTCACTCTCTTTCATTTTACATGATTTCAATTACTCACAAGTGATCAACTGGTAACTTAAACTAGTGTAAAAGCATAACTAGAAGAGTATAAGTTTTAAGTCATGCAGATTCTTAATTAGCAAATATTATATATTATATATACTAGCAGGCTTTGCTCACTAGCTATAGCTTCACAAAGTAAAATATATTCACTACTTGAAATCTTTGAAACAAAAATTTTAAATGAACATTTCATTCATAAATTGACTTGCTATAGTTAAAAAAAAATTTTACAAATAGATGCAAACTTGTTGAAAGCCAAGTAAAATGCAGATTTCAAACACTTTTCTGCTCTATATAAGACGGTATTCCTAAAATCAGAACTATTTTTGATATGAGAATCAAAACAATCCTCAAATAAAAGAACAGTAATGAAGAACAGTTAATTAATGAAATAAATGTTTTTAAAATCAATATGCAAATTAGTTAAACCTGAAAAGCAATATTGCCTAGAAGTAGATAATATATAACAAAAATATTAAGCTTATATTGAGGAGTATGTGCATTCAGATCCTTATCAGTCGCAGGTGGTATCACAGCTACGACTAGCTTGGACCGGCTCTAACAAGCCAATGACTAGCTTTGAAACACTCACATTAAAAACTGACCTTGTGCCATAACTCAGTGGAGAGGTCAAGTAAATCTCCTCTCTTGAGGAGGTCTACACATTCAGAAACTTACCAGTCACAGGGCTCTGTCCCTGTGCTGGTGGTGTCACAGCTACGACTATTTTGAACCGACTCTGACCAGATATGACAAGCCAAGACCAGCTTGGACTAGCAGCCCAAGTGAAAACACTCAGGTCTCCACATTAAAAACTGACCTTGGGTCAGAACCTGACCCAGTGGGGGGTTAAGTAAATCTCTACTTACCAGTCACAGTGATTCATCCCTGCACTGGTAGTATCACAGATATGACTAGCTTGGATGGCCCGGCATTGACCGTGCTTGATTCAAAAATCATACAACTCATACAGCAATCGCTATTACTTGACTTAAGATATTTTTGCACTTCCTTGCCTTTAAAGGAGTGCCCTTTGCCATGCTGATGTTGCTACATGTCTCACACTGCGAATTTTTTCTAAGCTCTATACTAAACATTAAATCTGTTACGAAAAAAGAACTAAACAAAATGAACACAAAACGATCAGCTTTAAAAAAGGACTCATAACTGGAAAAAGCGAATGAAAAAAGAATGTTAGCAACAAATACTTTTTCACACCTAACCCAGTTCTGCGGAATCAGAATCAACGTTGAGTTTAAGCAAGCGAATGAGCCAATTGGAGTAAAGTGCCATGCAGATTTAAATTTTTCCCACTTGTGATGAATGCAGCTATCAATTTTTTTTGCATGCTAGCATGCAAGTTAACATTCATGTCAGTCAGCTGTTGGCGCTCACACTGGCCAATAGAATCTTCCTGCCTATTTGTGGCAGCCAGCTATCTCTCACTCTGGCCAGTACAAAATGGCTGCAAACTACATGAAACTGCCATAGAAGCATGAAAAAATCAATTATTTCCACTATCGATGGAAGTTGGGAAATGCAAAGTCGGTCTTGGCCTTCCCACTAAGTTGGAGCATGTGCATGTAAATTTTGGTGCAAATCGTCGAAAACCGTGGCCATGCATTCACTACACACACACACATCCTGCCTTTTATAGATAGAGATAAGAGAAATTGCTTTATGTGTGAGACTTCACCTTTACATCTCAATATCTATTTATCACAAATCTCCAAAAGATGTTATCCCCAACATCATAAACATGTAGCAAAACAATTCAGTACATTCAACATTCCCTCCCACCATAACATTGTCAGTTACTTAGTTACTAATACAAGAATGTCTTACATCGTAGTCTCCACCATGCAATCTATACAGTGCCTACCCCTCCCAACAAAAATTCTGCTGGTCATTCTTTCACTCTGCTTCTAACAACTTGATAATGTTGAAGCTTATCTAGAATTTCACACTGGACCATTGCTTTAAAATAGAGACAGCTTATTTTAGCATAATGTGTCAGCTGCCAATTTATGGTTGTATTTAATGACCTTTTACTCTAACTCTTACCAACCTGATATACTAGTGAGAAGGTTCATTTCTTAGCCTGGGTCAAGAAAGAAACTAAAAACATGGCTGTTTCATGACTTTACCTTAGATTTTACATGCATTCCAGGATCACTTATCTAAACACTGCCAAATTCTTTACAGGGTCTCTTTGAATTACTTTTAAGTTATCTACCAGAGTTCATTTTTGTTGCTACCTTGGGCATCAATAGTTAAATACCAAGATGAATAAGTTCCTAGCTCTTATCTTCACAAACTTTGCTCACACTTCTCGCTCATGGAACTCTCTTCTAGCTTCTTGCTTTCCGGTGAAGACTGATCATCAAAAATTTAAATGCAATGTCAATCACTATTTTTTGTCTTCTTAATTCCTGTTCTTTTATTGTTCTCTTTCCTTAATAATTTTTCTCCTTTCTTTATATTCTTTCACATTCTCTGTAACCTCCTGCATCTTAGTGGCTTTATTGCCTTACTTAGAGTGAAATGATTAAGAAAAAAAAAGTTCCAGGAACTATTCTTTTTATAAAATAGACCTGAAGCTGAATTCTCCAACCTTGCTCAGTTCAACCCATTTCTTCCTGTAATTCCTGAGACTGGTAGAAAAACCTAATGAGTTCTCTGAAAATTTATCTGCCCTGCATTTCTTTCTAAAGCTTATGGAAACTCATAACCTACAGCAAAGCATCCTTCCAAATTACATAATTTACAGCCTCTTCCAAAGAGAAGCATGAATACATTACTGAGATTTATGACACATATATCTACCAACCATACATTAATCCTCCCAACATGCTATTCAAATCTATATATATATAAAAATCAGTTTTAAAAAGTAATCTTCTTTATAGATTACTTTTCTCGGAGATTTGATGATGAATACTTAAATGTAACAAAATGAACAGAGCTGTTATTTCGAAGAATGATAACACTTTTTTTAAAGAAGATATCAATAAATATTTTTATTAACCCCCAACCAGATTAATTCAATGTTTCATTCTGAAGTATATTTTTTTTATTTTATAAATTAAGAGTATGTAATATAATAATCATGAGAATGTATTTTTTCCTCATTTCTTTTCTTTAAAAAATATCCACCATGTGTTTAAATGAAAACCGTAAGTATATACTGCATATAATCGATAAAAAAAAACTTTAAATACACAAGGTAAGAATCCATAATTTGCCAGATTTTATAAAATTCTTCTTCTACATGTTGTGTCCCTTCAGGATGTTGGCGATCATGCCTCGCCACAATTTCCTGCCTCTTTTGCTATCTCTCCTAAACTTTGTTCTGCCATTAGTTTACTCCAGCTTGCTAAGTATGTTATGCATTGTTTTCCTCTGTCCATCTTGCCTTAAATCTGTCCTGTGAGTATCAAATATTCCAAGCCCTCTTTCCTCATTATGTGCCCTAGATTTTGGTATCTCTAATTTGTATGTTGGGTTGTTCCTTTTGCTAACAACCATGCATTTCATCATCTTGAAATTGATGCCTAGCTCTTTCTTCTCGATTTCCACCCCTACCTTCTGTAGGAGTTCTTTCTGTTTCCTTCCTTTGTCTGCTATCAACACTGTTATCTGTATATGTTAAGATTGTGGCTACCAATAATGAATTCTGGTAGGACTTCTAATTTTCTCGGAATCACCTCACTGTATAGGTTGAATAAATCTGATGAGAAGACACATGCTTTCTTATTTTTTTTTTGTATATTTCCTGAATTAATTTTCTATCCATATGCATATGGTTTGCTGCCAGTATAGGTTCTGGATTATTCTAATATCCTTCCAAAATATGTCATGGTTACCTAGCAATTCCAACAGTTCTTTGTGTCATACTTTATCAAATGCATTTGTATAACCCTTAAAACACAGGTGTACATCCTTCTGAATTTGTATTACTCTTTCTGATATCATTCTGAATATAAATATTGCATAGAATACCATTGTATAAAAATATGTATATATACAATATATATTTATTGGGTGTATTTAGGCAGCAATTTTTAATTTATACAAGTTTGGTTAAAGACCTCAAAAGTTCTTTGTTTAAGGATATGTTTTATTTTTTTTATCTTTTCTATATTTTGGACCATTTTCCTTATTTCAGCAAAGTTTAAATATAAATATATATTTATTTATATGACTAAAACCCTCACTAGTAAGTGAAAAATAATTTTTTCCATGCTATAAAAGCCATGAAATCTCTACATTTAGGTCAGAAATAGATTAAAAAAAACTTTTTTATCTCACAAAATTGGTGCTATTAACCAGAAGTTCAAGACAGACTTGTTCTTGCACTAAAATCTAACATGATGCCCAAAGATTTTGGTTCAGTTTAAAATCAAAAGTTATTTTACAAGCAAGTTGAGAAAAGAGTAAAACATAAAAGAAGTGCCTATACTCAGCATAATGCATTAAAGAATAACATTTTTAAAAAATAGAAAGATTTCTGCACTCATTTTTTTAATCTACCATTTCCTTTTCCTATATATATATATATAGCAGAATTGAAACAATACTTACAAATATTCTCTAATTACCTTATTGAAGGGTTTTTATATGTTCAATCCAAAATTAATCAGATTATCTTATTCAATGGAAGATATTTCTTCTGTGCCATTGTTTTTAGAACAATTGCTGCATACCTTGCAGCCTCTTCTATAATGCACCCATGATATTTTTATATATCAAGTGATAACATTTAACGGAAATACTTACTAAATATATACTTCATTATTTACTAAATATAAAAATGCTTCATGTCCTTTGAAAAAAAGTATTTATGGTAAAATTCAAGTGATTCAGAATTTCTGTAACAATGAAATAAGCAGACTAAATTATTTACAAAAACATACTAAACAGGACATCAAATCACATCTCAGCTTCCAAAAAAATAATTCTTTTTTTTTCTATCCAGTCTTTAGATTTGTATATTAAACATAGAACTGAAAGTAGATTTAAACCAGTAACTAACCTCAAGCTACGTGAGCGAGGCCGTGGTCGAGGTGACCATCGTCCTCCACCATTATCATCCTCCGGAGGAACAGCATTGTTCTCATTGCTACCAAAGTGTCGAGTGAGAATATGGAGCTCATCAGCTGTTGGCTGTGATGGCAATTGGTGAAGACGCTCTTGAGAAGAGCACTGAGACTGAAAATAAAATATTTATTTGAATTTAAAATAGTGATAGATAGATAGATAGATAGATAGATAGATAGATAGAGATAGAGATAGATAGATAGAGATAGATAGATCACATTATAAATTGTTTCTAGGAAAAAAAAAAATCTTACAGTAAATGAAGTAACACATTCAGAATTTCCAATAATCTTGGTCAAAGAAGGTGAACAAATGATCGGTATAATTTAAAAATTAATAAAAATAATTGTTCTCTTTATAAAAACAATGCTGGAAATTCTTTTATAACCAGTAAATAAAACAGATTTTAATTTTACAAAACTGTAGTTGAAGCTGCTTCCTAATAATAATAGAGAAATTAGCCGTTTCCATAGAGAAACATTCAGCATTCATAGACAAAACAATTATTGATATTGTTGGCTGAAATTTATAAAATATATTTCTTAAAGTAGTTTTTCAGAAAAATAAACTCCTCAAATCCACTGCTATCACTTTTTCTAGTATGGATAGGAGTTTGCTTCCAAACCTTTTGTAATGTGGAAAGTTAAACTTGAGTACAGTATTCTCTACCAGTGACATGCACTACCTATTTTTGTTGCTGCTGCTGATGGAAGTGTTTGAGTGATACGGTGCCAGTTTGAAGAATAGTTTCTTTAAGATTTATGGTAGAACACAGTGAAATTTTCAACAATTTCAATTTGATTTTAAAACATTTTATTATTCATTATGAGATTCTACTGTATTTTCTCAATGATGTTATAGCCTGTCAAAGCTTGAAGGCACCCAAGACTTCATAAAAGTTAGCATTAATTTCAAGTACAAATCTAACAGAATAACATGTTAATAATATTTGCTCTTAATTTTAGTCATAGATGCAGAAATTAATTATACCAAAAGATTTTCATATAATTATCAATATTTAATAACAGTGAGATTAAATGACAATCAAGTTTAAAATCCTGTCATGCAATATAAGAATTTACAATGAATTTAGTAATAAGCTAAATACCATATCAAAACTACATGTGCATACAAAGTAGCATTATTTTTGTTGAGGCAGGACTGAGATTAATCTTACAACAAAGCAAGGTGAGTCCTGACTGACAGGATTTGTCATAATGATTTGAGGCAAGATTTTACAAAGTTAGATGCTCTTCCTGACACCCAACTCAGACACTCACCATAGTCCAAATACACAGAGTGTTTTTATCAAAACACTATCTCCAGGAAGGTTGCTATTCAAGACTACTAGCCTTATTTATATATATGCATGTGTGAGTGTATATTTTTAGGGAGCATATCTTCATTCAAGCATGTTTCATTGAATAATATAGACATATTATGTCTATTCATTTTTATAATAATCCTTTCTAGTTCTCTAATTAGCTTCTTGATTTTAAGTTGAAATTCATCAAGGAAGGCACAATAGTTTTTGTTAACCAAAGTACTTTTGATCTCCTCTGAGATCATCCTCAGAGGCGAATTGCAAAAACAAACTTAATGTAACATTTTAAAATAATTATAACAGAGCAAGTTCATGCATGTTTATAAAAATCCCCATCACAACAATCACAGTTATATTAAGTTTGTCTTATATATATATATATATATATATATATATATATATATATATATACAGTGTAACCTGGATATAAGAGAGTTGTCAGGACCGAAAAAGAAGTCTCTTATATTCAGGTTTGGTCTATTTTATATACATTAACACAGGCTCTAATTTGGGACCAGATAAAATCTCTCTTATATCTGGGTTATTTATACTATATATATATATATATATATATATATATGAATTAATTTTTTTTCATTTATTAATCAGATATATTTAACTTATTGCATAAATGTTATTTTTAGTGGGTACCCATATTTGAGTAGATGCTCTGTTTTTATTTATATATTAAACAATATTTATTTATTTCCATCTACAGGTCTTAAATATATTGTTTAATATATAAATAAAAACAGGGCATCTATAAATTAATATATGTTGGTCATTTGTTCCTATAAGTAAGAAACTCATCTTTCGTTTGACAGGTCTTGTAATAGTAATATTATTTCATATTAGCAATAAAATAAAAATGAATAAATTGAGTTCTTCCACTTTCATCTACGATCCATTCAATCAGCCTTTGAACTTGTGTGTGTGTGTCAACAATCTAAGAATCTATTTTTAATCTGCCTAAAGCAGTAGAGGAGAAATAAGTTTTTTAAAAATATTTCATAGGTATTTTGTGTCTTCATGTTGAAATCTAATCATTTCATATATCAAATTTGTTTGGAAATATAAAACCGTATAAATAAAACTTGTAAAAGAAAAAAAATCTGGCAAAACCAATTTCTATTAAAATATTTGACTTAATTTTGTACTTTAAAATTTTGTTAACTTTTTCAAAAATAAATTTCAGTTAAATCTTAAGTAACATTCAGAAATCTTAAATGACAATTATACATGTAATATTTCAACTTTAATAGGTCAAATAAAGGTTATGCACTTGCATGATTAAAATGCTGAAAATTTAGTTTTGGCTACAACACTGATTTTAGATTATTATACAAAGATGAAATCTAATCATGCCAAATCCAATCTGTGAAAATATGAGTGCAGAAAAAAATAAGAAACATTGATGCCCAATATGTTATCTTTTGTGCATCTAGTACAATTTGACAGGTGAAAAAAAAATCAAAGGTTTTGTGATGTTGGACAGCTTCACTTGTCACTTTTGCTATGTCAAGTAAAAAGCTCATTTTTGCTTCCAAAATTGCTCATATATTCAAGACTTTGTAGACCAATAATATCCGAACTAGTAATACTTGTTCAAGTAGTAATTGTCAAATAGTATAATGATCAGAAGAAAATTGTAATCTGTATACTAGTAGAGTAGAAAGAGTGAACACATAGCAATAGTGGATAGACAAGAAGAGTGAACAGTGATCAGTTAGTCAACACGTTACTTCGTATTTATTCACTTCCTTTATGATCATGTGATCTACTTAATAACGGAATCACCCATGTTGCTCACTGGTGATCTAGTTTCAAACCCCAGTGTCAGTAATGACACTTACTCTTATACAACAAGAGGTTAACACTGCAAAATGATATAAACATTTAATTATTACAACTAATAATAAAGGTGGGTCCTATTTATCAAAAAAAAAAAAAAAAAAAAAAAACAGATTTACAATTTCAAGATCAAAACCTAATCAATTAAAATTTATAATCAAGATTGTTAAAAAGAAATACAAAAGTAAATATAAATGAAAGAAACGAGAACTTTAGGTTAAATAGAATGAAACAATCATTTTTAAAATGGATTTGTAATTTGGCAACATGTCAAAATACTTGAAGATAAGAATTAAATGTCAAGATGTCAACACTTGTCTATGAATATCATTCAGTTATAGCAGCACACAAAAAGCACTGAAACAGTAAAAAAATTCCTAATTTTAAGGAGCATTCACGACAGCCTATTTCAATCTTAAGAAAAAGTATATAATCCTTAATGTATATCCATAAACTTTGTTTCTCAAAACAGTGGTTTTAAATTTTCCTTCTATGTTTTGATTGACAATGTTCGTTTAAATATTTCCTATAAGTTTCGTTGAAATTGACCTGTTATTTTTTGAGATATGTAAGAAAAACCAATGTGTTAAATACTTTTGCTACCCACTGTATATAACCACAATTTTGATAACAGAATAACTATGCACAAATATATTTTATTAATTTGGGAGTAGTTTAGAAGTTGTACTAATTTAAACTAAGGAGACAATAAGACTGTCAGAAAAATAGATTTTCCATACATTTATTCTTTTAGTAAAAAACACACAATCTTTTTAATAAAAAATGTTTTAAAATTTAATTGGTTAATTGGCAAAATTTTTATTTGGATAAAAATATATTTAAATTTTAAATCATCTAAATTACAAAACCTCCAAATAAAAAATTATACACACCTTCACATGCCAACTTTTGCAGACATTTAAAAAATAAACTTGTATAATTTCAAAATACTGTTCTCATTTTGGTTGATATAGATGTTATTATAGACGTTTCAACCATGTACTCTCTGACCATCATCATGTGTCCATTGATTAACTATCAAATATCAAAAACCATCTGACATTGAATATAAAACCACTAATCTTCTTCAGAATAGTGGCATAGTGAATATAGGAGTTGATTATATATGTGTTACAATCATCTGGTGGTCATGAGTTCAATCCCTGGAATAGATACTAAAGCCCTGATTCAGCAGAAATGAACACCTGATGATAAACAGAGGGTCAGAACATTGTATCTATAATTCCATCTGCATGATTGATGCTAAAATAAAAACAATAGTTTTATTTTCTCAATTGACATTTATCTTCATTACAATGAACATGGCATAAACAAAGGTATACAATTTCAATTCTGATACCTTTAAAGTAATATTAAACTTATATAGCTGTAAAATTCATACTTTTTTCACCACCAAACTGTATGGATTTACAAAAAGGGAAAAATATACTTTTGTATCAAGTTAAAAGGGAATGTATACAAAAGATAGGAACAACCTGACAATGTCTTCAATGTTTGAAGCTTTATAAATGGAAAATTTACAGAGAAAGAGGATTAGCTTGAAAAAAAAATATCAAGGGAAAGAAAAATATTGTATTAGAGTTCTAATGGGAAACAGGTTATCAAAGAATAAAATATTTTTCACTTTCTGCCTTCCATCTGCATGATTGATGCTAATCTCCAAGAGAATGACTTATTGCACCCTCTCAGAATAATATTTTCTGCTGATATGAAGTGGAAAGATTATATTGAATCAATTCTTAGGTTTACTGCTAGGAAAGTTGGTTCACTGTGTTGTACATAATTTTTTTCACTCAAGTCTATCCTAAATATTTATAAGTCTACCAATATTGTGGTAGGTATGGTCTTAGTGGTTTTGCTATATTTTAGAGATCCTTTTAAAAATCCAAAGAAGAATCAGAATATAGGCATTGGTCCTGAAGTATATCTCACCTTCAGTCAATTTCCTGGTTTGTCTGATTAACTTTTTGTTTTTTTTGCTGAGACTTTATGAATTTAAGCACAGTACTAGATTGATGGTAAAGTTTCATCCTTTTACAGTTGAAATGGCCGCTAGATGTAACTGTAAGTTCTTTTCTAACAGTTTCTTTTCTCACTTGTGGAACTCTCTTTTCAGCTTTTTGCTTTCCAGTCAAGTTTGATCTTCAAAAATTTAAATGCAATGTCAATCATCTTAATTCCTGTTCTTTTATTGTTCTCTCTCCTTAATAGTATATTTTTCTCCTAAATCTAAAATATCTGAACCCCTTGTGACTTAAATTTTTTTATTGAACGTTGGAGAAATGATTTTAAAAAAAAAGTTTATTTTGAATATAGGCATTGGTCAATCAAGTATAGCAAGTTCAATCACTGGTTTGTCGATTGATTAGTTTTTTTTTGTTTTTTTTTTACAGCTTATAAACCCTTTGTGGGTTATTTAAAGCCAAAACATATTTTGGATTGTACAGTGATCCCTCATCAAAGTACTGATCAGGCTTGATGCTGCTTAACTTTGGCAATTGAACAAGAACTAATATTTACAGTGCAATGTAAGTGAATGTGAGTTCAATCCTTAGATCAGGTCAGTGGATCCTGCAGCAGGACAAACAAGGACAAAATAACACAATAATTAATACACAAGTTATACCAAAATAATGAAAATCTGAAGATGGCCAGACTGTATTGGAAATGTAAAAAATATCTGAACACTTAGAATAAAATGGCAAACTTACAGAGACGTTGGAGCTAGCTGGAGTGTTAGTTCCATAACCAGACGATGGTAATGATGCAAAAGACCATCTACGCCCATCCATTCTGAAATTGAAACAAAAAATAAATAATCAATAATTTAAAAAATACATAATTTAAACAACTCTTATTTTCAAATTCAAAAAGGTAAAGTAAGGTGAAATCTTAAGAATGGTAAAGTAAGGTGAAATCTTAAGAATGGTAAAGTAAGGTGAAATCTTAAGAATGGTAAAGTAAGGTGAAATCTTAAGAATGGTAAAGTAAGGTGAAATCTTAAGAATGGTAAAGTAAGGTGAAATCTTAAGAATGGTAAAGTAAGGTGAAATCTTAAGAATGGTAAAGTAAGGTGAAATCTTAAGAAATCACATGAAATTTCCGATGATAATTACATTATAATCTGCTAATTACAATATTTAATGAAGATATTTTTAACAAAAATAATGACTATCAAAGAAATACAAATATCAATGTAATAAAATGAATAGATTTAATCTACTGAATCTAGAAGAAAAATCAGATTGCACAACTTCTATATATTGTCCATGACAAGATAAATATGTAAGACAATGGTCCTCTCTGGTCAATGAAGTAGGATCTTCCTCGGTACAAATCTAAGGGTTCAAATTGATCTTAAAGACTAAATTAATATATTGGCTCATCAAACTATTACACAATTCTCAATAAATCCAGTAACTCATGCAACTTAAAAAAATTAAAAACTTAGAATATAATAATTTAAACTGTTAGTAGATAAAATAAATTGAGGAAAAAAAGCTGTCATTAAAATAAACTATAAGAAAATTAGTCATAACTTTATATACGGACTAGTTTTAAAGAAAAAATTTAAATTTAAAAAATTTCACAAAATTTACAAAATTTATTCTTTTTAAGTTTTTAAAATTATTTATCATGTAAAATTTATTCTGTAAGATATAAACATTGCTCAAGTACACTCCTGAAACATTTAAATAAATTTCTCAAGTAAAAAGATTTTAATGAGAATTTTTGCCTTGAAAGAAAGACAAACATTAATAGTTAGTCCAACAGAAAATTTTGGTTGGTATTAAAATGTTTTTTTTTTTTTTGTTTTTGCTTTTATCCATACAGCAATCAGAACTCCTAAGATTTTACAAAGCTCCAAAATCATGTTACTTTATGGCAAAAATTACATCTTTTTACCCTAATGAATGACAAGTAGTTTTTGTCAAATATCAATAGTTCTCTTTTTCAATATCTAGTTTGATAAAAAATGATTTTTTTTCACATGGAATTCTATTTATTCTTGTATTTTTAATTCAACCTAAGCCCTTTCTCCCTCCAAAAGATAGTAATATAATGTAACACTGAATAGTTTTGTGTGTAATAAAATTCACTTCTAGATAATAGATAAAATAGTAACATATTACAAGAGATATTTCCACATATCCTGTTTCAAGGCTGGTCTATGACAATAAGTTTTGATCACCTTTGTCAATGTCTGTGTCCTTAAAGAAACTTAAATCTTTGAATATCACACTTGAAAAAGAAAATGTTGAATCTTTGCAATACCAAAAAGAATCACAATACACTAATACTGAAACTCTACAGTCAGTAATATTCAATTGATATGTCATTCATGCTGGCTCAAGTCCTCATTAAATTTTGTTCATCTCTAGGTTTTGTACATACTGATAATTATTCTCTTGCATGATGAACATTAAATATAGTAAAACTTTTCTGTCTGAATTTCTGGGATAAGGACTTATTGTTTACATTTGAACTAATGACTTAATCTTTGTTGTTATTATCACAATGTTTCAGCTAAACAATATTAAAAAAAAAAAGATTAGATATCTGTAGACATAGGCAGTGAAACAAGACTATATCTCAGATTAAATAAAGGAGTTCAGTTCAAAATTCCCTGAAGGTTATCCAGATCAACAGACACCTGATAAAATCAGGTAGGTACAATGGCTGAAATCTTGTAATTGAAATAACAAAGATGTGGATATTAGTCTAGCTGTAACTAATAATAACAATACACATTTAATATGTGAAAATTTATCTAGCCTTAGAGATTTGTTTTAGATCTTTATACTAAATTTTTGTTATATGCAAGAACAATGTTAATTTCATCAAAAAAATATTGAGATAATATCAACAAAGATAAGACATTAGTTCAAATGTAAATAATGTTAATAGTAAAAATTTTACTGAATTTTGTGCTTTTTAACATCAGTAATAATATTCAAGATTTATTCATTACTATACAAGGTTTACAATTTCATCCAAATTTTTTTAACATTATTTTTTGTAAATTACACATCTACATGCTAATCAAAGACAATTTAATCTTCAGTGAAAGTAATTACTACAATAAAAATTAGTTATTTAATATTTTAAAATTTTTATTATAAAAGACTATTTAAAGTTAAAAAAGAAAGTCTAGACAGATCTTAAAAACAAGCATCCTGTTCTAAATATTATGCATTAATTGAAATAACTGATATGATAATTTCTAGTTTATCTGTAAAGTTTGAAAAATTTAAATGTCATCATACATCTGTAAAAATGATAAACATGAAATTCAATACCAACTTCTTAACATTTTGGAATGGAAACTGGCTGTGCAGGCTGGGTGATGCTTGACGAGGACTATCCACAGGACTTCCTGCAATAAACAATTAAAATATTTTATAACATAAATCAATAAAGTACACACATCAGCTTCATATGTAATTATAAAAATAAATATTAATATCAATGTGTACAAAACAGATCAAAATTGTATAATATAAAGATGGCAAAATACAACATTACTTTTCAAAATGTTTTATTTTCAGAACTATTTTTTATAACCAATTAAATCTGAAGCCATTTATGGAAACTATCAATTTAGAAAGTAATATGGCTATTTATCCACACACCCATCAAAATGGAATATGACATAAGGTCAAGTTTTAAATGGAAGCCCACGTGTACACAAACTGGGGACAAAAATTACTCAAGCCACGTCAGCACTTCACCTTTTGTGGATACCTCATGAAGGGTTGGCCCTCTTGGGCTTGAGCAAAATACTACAGTTAGTCATACTATACAAAATCATAAGAAATAATATATCAGTAAAGTATCTTATATTTTTTATTAAAATTTGTCTAATGAATTACTATTCTGACCAAAATAATAAGTTTCAGCAAATGTGAAATCTTAAAACTTTTGTTTCTGTTAGAATGAATTTTTTTTTTAATGACATACCAAAATTAATGACAGATTTGTATTTCTTTTAAATTTTCGTCATATTTTCTCAACATAACTAAAACTGGTTCCATGACTGTGTTTTTCAGTTCTTTAAAAAAAAGAAAAACATCTATTTTTTTCTTAATTCATCAGCAGCATAAAGGGAAATACAACTTTCAAATAAAAAATACATGCTACAACTTCATCTTTTAGTGTCAGTAAAAATTTATGAAAGGTAATTTTAAATGATCTGGTATTGAAGTAACAAGAAAAATATATAAATGTGAATTCAACAATTCTGTGAATAATCAAAAAAAAAATAGTTGGGATGCTGAAAAATCCTAGTTGAACCAAATTGCCAAAATCTGACAAAATGGCCAAACATCAGAATTTTGAAAGGAAAGGGTTTCTTCATAAAGCCTACAATTTTTCAGTACTCCTTTGTATTTCCTGTAATTATGATTTTCACCAATTTTATAAAAACAAAAACAAATTAAAATTGTAGTAAAAAAATGTAAATGAATAAAAAAAAATCTGTATAGAATCACTGTCTTTAATTATATTCCCTTGTCAGATGCTAATAAACAGATTCAAATATTTATACAGAATGCAGGCAAATTTTGAGTTTGTGCTATTCCCAAAAGTATTAGCACAGACTTTAAGGGCAAGCATCCAAAACCAATTTAATTAGCACAGATTTAGTTCTATAACTGAATCACAAAACATAAATGATGATGCGATATACTGACTTCTCATTCAAAGAAGCTTACATTCAGAAACATATTTCAAGTTATGAATATGACCCATGTTAAACATATAATCAATTCAGTGCCTTAAAAAAAAACAATATTATTATTCTTTTTCTATATACTATGTCCCTTCAAGACATTGGCAATAATGGATCTCCACAATTTCCTCCGAGTGAGGAGAGTTGTTAACAACCCTATAGGATGAAAAATAAAGGGCAGAAGTCTAGACAGGTCAATGGCCAGTCAACTAGAGGTGGTGTCCCAATAAATCACCATGGAGAAGGCAACAAGAAACCATTCCACTATCAATCCCAAGAAAACTTATGGATCTTAAACAATATTACTGTTAATAAATTTACATAGCAGCAAAATATTAGATGCAATGTACTCATGTGGCTCAGATTATAAATGAACATTGCGTACTGATTATCATTGGAATCAATTCTGGAGGAGTCTTACTTCATAAAATTTCAATTCTAATATAAAACTGAACAATGGCATACATCAGTTAACAGGCCCAACATCTAGTAAAAGAAAAATAGTAGTTTAATATTCATCTGTTATGAGGAGTACAGACCAAAATTTGATAATTTGCCAAAGACAATTTAAGATCTTAAAGTCTAGGAAAAGATTTTTTTTTTTTTTTTTATGGTTTAACTTTTTGCAAGTTATTTAAAGCCAGAAAATATTTTTTTTTAGATTGTACAATTTTTTAATAATGATAACTACTAATTAACACGTGGTGGAGGGGGGGAGTGGATTCATACTTTACCCCAAGGTTATTTACTCATATAATGAACCTGACTGGAATTTGAACTCAGCTCTCCGATTTCTAATTCCAAGCCACTATTCATTATACTAACTGAACATCCAAGCTCAGAGAACCTGGTATTCCCATGTGGTCACTCATCTAGGTACTGACCAGGCTCAACACTTAACTTTGGTGATTGTACACCAAGTGTGGTGATAAAGCCACTAAGATGCAAGGGGTTATTGAGGATGAAAGACAGTAGAGTGAAGAAAACTGAGAAAATATTACTGAGGAGAAAGGACAATGAAAAGAACAGAAATCAAGTACACAGAAGATGATACTTGATGTTGCATCTAAATTTTTGTAGATTGTAGTTGACAGGAAAGCAAGAACCAAAAGAGAGTTAAACAGGAGAGATGTGTGAATTAGAATTATTATTAGAATAACTCAAATATAAAACAGTGTAAAAGTCAATATGGAATTCTTCCCACAAATAATAAAATAATAAAGAAAAAGGAAGCTGTGAGGAACTATGATCACCAATGTCCTGAAGAGGTATGGCATTAAAAAAAATCTATTCCATGCTAATTTGAATGGAATATTAAACATTTTGGTCCTATATTGAAAAGTTGTTGAGAACATAATCTTTAAAGTAAAAATTAATTTTCTTTGTCACTTATTTGGTATTTTACGTAATGTTTTAGAATCCCCAAAAATAGTAAACATAATGGAAAATATATACTTCAATTAAACTGAGTAGTAAATATTTATGCTTTATTAATATATATATATATATATATATATATATATATATATATATATATATATATATATATATGGTGCGATGGTTAAATTGTCGCCATTTTTTTTTTTTATTGAAAAGAGGGCAGTATCTGTGAAAAAGCCAGTGATGCAATTCACTCTGTCAGATATTTTGGAAACAGCATGCTGTACTGCGTGGAATATGCTGCTGAAGCTCCAATACAAACATTTCTTAGTGTTTGGATGTCAATCAGAGGACAATGCAGAATTGGAAGAGTCTAATGGTGATTACAAAAGTACAGCAGCTTGGAAAACTCATACTAATCATTCTGATAAGAACTCCCAAATTTGTTAGTGAGCACATCAAACTCAACATGAAGGTCTACACCAAGTGCTTTGAGGAGGTAGTGCTGCCTTGCCTCAAGAGGATGACTGCTGGAAGACCTTATGTCTAGCAAGAAGATGCTGCACCATGCCACACAAGCAGGAGAATCCAGTCACGGCTGTCAGACAATTTCTCTAACCACATCACCCCTTACATCTGGCCACCTAACTTATCAGACTGCAACCCCCTTGATTATGTATGGGGACGCAGTTGAGTAAGAGACCAACAAAACTCCTTAGAATGCCAAAGATGAACTGAAGGCAAGGATTATAGGCAGCATTTACAAAACTTAAACAAGGAGACCATCCAGAAGAGTTGCAAGAGAATTCAAAGTCACCTGGAGGTCATGATTGAAGCCCTTGGTGATTTTATTGAATAAATTTACTTTTTAGTATTTCAAGATATTTTTGTGTAATTTTGGTAAATATATTTGTTAAAATGAGATGTCAGTGCTAATTTCATTTTTAGCATAATTTAGACAATTTATCTATCGCACTCTGTTTTTTTTTGTGTGTATATATATATATATATATATATATATATATATATATATAATCACATTCTTTGTCTCCAATAATCATTATCACTCAAATGTTTAAGATGATTAATAAATAGTGATCCAAGCAAATATATATTAAATGCACAAAAAGAATAAGAGACAAGAACAAATCCAACACTGAAATCCAATGCTGCATTGGGATAGCATAAGATGTCTTCCAAAAAAGAAGCAAAGTATTAAGAAACAGGAAAATTTCATTAGAAGCAAAGAAAAGAGTACTGAACTGTTACATAACATCAGTTCTCCTATGTGGTAGTGAATACTGGACAAACTCATGACTGAAAATATGACTGTAGAAAGTATATTGAACACTTAGTGTCTTCTTAGTAAAAAGTAAATGGATTTTTTTCTTTTTTACTAAGTGTCCCATTTATTTTCCTGGCCACTGTATTTGATCACTTGCTCCCCAAAAGCATGAAAATACAACTGATTATGTCATCACAATATACTATTTCAATCTTATCCATCACATTTATGTACAAATGTGGCATGGTTGAGAGTTGAAAAAAATAATCTTTATAAATGTATGAATTTTATTGATTCTTTTGATTCAGCATGACCGGTGCTAGCCTCCAGGAGAGTGACTCATTGCATCTTTTCAGGCTAACATTTTTCACTGACATGAAATGGAAAGAATATATCAAATCGATTGCTAGGTTTGCTGCTAGGCTGGATATGTCACTATGTCGTGCTAGACAATTTTTCTTGTCATAATCTATCTTAGATAGTTACAATTCATCCATGCTTAGACTATTGCAGCCACATATTGTCTGGTGCTCCTGCTATATATTTAAAGATTCTTGATAAAATCCAAAGAAGAATCTGCAATGTCATTGGTCCTGACCTGGCATCTTGGCTTCAGTCATTTTCCCACCAATATAATGTAGCTTCCCTATGTCTTTTCTTTAAATACTATCATGGTAACTGGTCTGACAAACTTTCCTCTATGTTATTTTATTCTCCCTCCCCACAGAAACATTTGTACATATGGGAACTAGTTAGGACTACATAGAGACTATAGTGGCTGTAGTAATATGAATGATAAATAAAATGTGTTGTTTTGGTGTAAGGAATACTGTGGTATGTTTGGGTCAGTAATCATGGCTAGCTAAGTTTAAGATAAGACAGATTGAAAAGGAGCCTTCCTCCCCCCCCCATTTGGCCTTGTGCCACATTTTGGTATTAAAACAAAATAAATATTACTTTTCTCTATGGTACCTATACTATG